TGTCCCGGCAACAAACAGCTAATGTGATAACGGCTTTATACTTTTGAAGTATATTTCAAGGAGGAGCAAAAGGCGTTAGCAAGAAGGCAGTAGCAAAGTGAGGGAAAAAGCATAATGTGTCCAGAAAGAAAGTTGGGTTTAGAACAATTTAGTTTCATTCTTATCGTTTATTAAAAGTTTCAGTTTTCTGAAAATTAAAAATATTACAGGTTAAAGCAGTGGTTCTCAACCTTTTGACTAATGCATAACATCTAAACAAAAATTGAAAAACTTCAGTACCACCAGGATATTTTACAATGATTACTTTTCAATTTCTCAACAGAAATATTAAAAAATATATATACAGTCAAAAGTCTTTAATCTGGACGTCCATAATCCGGAATGATCTATAATCTAAAATCTATAATCTGGACCTCAAAGCTACAAACTATCTGCGCATGCGTAAACGCGTTTACGCATGCGCTTTTAATGTATAACGGAGAGTATTAGCTAAGCTAAAATTATCTATTTCAGTTAATGTTGCAGATTGCGTTGTTCCTTAATCTTCTAATTGGATCCGGCTTATTATTTTTTGCAGACTGTTAGAGCAATTTTATAAAAGTAAGCTTGAACTTTTGATTATGTCAAAAAGAATTTCCGATTCTGGAGCTGCCAAAGGATCTACAAAGCGAAAGCATGTTTCGATGTCCATCAAACAAAAAATTGAATTGCTGCAAAAAAATGGATAAAGGCATATTCTTTGTTTCTCTAACCATTCCGAAATCTTTGCGCTGCTCTGAGGGGGGGGGGATTCACGGTGCGCAACAAACTGGAAGTCTATCTGTCAGCACTATCCTCACCTTTAGGGCAGATGTTTTTATTTTATTCAACTTATAATTTCTTACTAAATGTAGTATTTCATCTCGATGTACTCCATCTTGGATATGATTTAAATCAAATTCCTCATCATTACAAATATCACGAATACACATCAAATAGATTTCTGGTTGCAATTTTCTAATTTTGACTATGGGTAATGTATGCTTTACGCATGCGCGCGTTGAAAGTTATTAATAAAGTAAACGTATAAATATTAGGCTCTTTTTCTTTTTTTTTTTTTTTTTTGTAAATTTTGATACATTTTAGATCAGAGGTGGGCAAAATCCATCCCTTTTGCTTACTTTATCCGGCCTGTTGAAAAATCCTGCATGCAATTTTTTTAATCTCTTATATGCCGTAACATCCTCTTAAAATATATCTTAATTAATCTCTTATATATATGTCTCATTTCTTAATAATATAATATATATATTATTTTATTGTAATGATTAAATGATTTATTTGTAGGCCTTTGTAAAATGAGTCAATCTAAAAAAAGAAAAGTTGATTTGGAGTGCAGAAATTTCAATGAAGCATGGACGGTAAAATACCTTTTTACAAACATTGATAAGAAAGCAATTTGTTTAGTTTGCCAGCAAACAATTGCTGTTTTCAAGGAATACAATTTAAACAGGCATTTTAAATGAAAACATCCAAAATATGCATCACTTGCTTTAAAAGAACTTCAAAGTGCAGCAGAAAACATGACAAAAAACTTAAATAAGCAACAAAATATTTGTATCAAACAAAGTAATATCAAAGAAATCTACCATAAAAGCAAGTTATGCTGTGGCACACAAAATTGCTACATTCTCTAAAACTCTTACTGAAGCAGAATTTGTTAAACAACGCATGATACAAGTGTCGGAGATATGTTGTCCTGAAAAGAAACATATTTTTGAAAATGTAAGCCTTTCGAGAAGAATGTAAGCCTTTCAACAGATGACGCCAATAGCTTAAATCCTGTCCAGCCATTCTTATCTTATCTTAATCTAATCACTATATTTATTTCGTTCATTTGCATTTTGGCAGCTGAGGATGATGGTTCGGTAAAACCATCGAAAACTAGTCCTCTGAAAACTTGTAAATATAATGCTGATTTTTGTTGTTTGACTTCTAAATTAATATTTGTTCAGTGTTCTATTTTATATTAAACTTCCTATTTGTTAATCAGTTAAATACAAGTACACTGATCTCCTGCTTTGAAGGACCAGATATTTAGTAACTATCCATTAACAGGAAGTGACCACTAAACTGGAATATCCATTAATAAGTTTGACTGCAATTCCTCTGTATAGCTCCCATCCCCATAAATAGCCCAATATTAACCTTCCAGCATGTGCGTATGCGCAAAATTTGCAACAAATTCGGTTTTTAATGCACATTTTTCGCATATCAAAGCTGAGAAGTCTGAATGTCATTTATATTCCTCCTTTCTACCCTTCCCCACATCATGGAATGTGCCAACAGGAAGTCATTTAACTTTTTTTTTTTTTTTTTTTTTAACTGGGCTTTTGTGCTATGTGGCAGCTTTTTCATAAAAGTTATGACACACACGTGGTTGTGTTTTAAAATTTGGAAAATATTATTTTTCTAAAATATTTTGTAATTTTGTGTTATTGATGGCCGTGTATTATTTTAATTTGAATACATTTGGCTCAGTAAATTTTATATCGGTTTTCATGGGAAAGAAATATATGCAACCAGCTGATTTTGCTCGGATTCTCGGAAGAATTATCTGATGAAGAAAAGGAAGACAAAGAAACCTTTGGATGGGAGAACAATAGCGATTTCCATTCCTTATTTTCTTTTATTTCTAATTTAGAAATAAATAAAAACATTAAAGTTACTTTAAAGTTTTTAACCAGTAAGAAGTAAATTTCCTTGCAGAAATAAATAATGCTAAACTTACTTTTTTCCTACCAAGGTGTTTTCCTTTTTTATTGTCTATACTTATCTTTTGATGAATATTAAATTAGCTTCAATTTTTAAAATGTAATTATTAAATAATAAATTTAAAACTTTCTATAATGAAATACATCTTTGCATTTCCATCTCACTAAACATAAGAACTTGAAAATAATTTAATTATATTTGAATGTGATATCAGTTGTATTTTGCAATAATAAGATTAATATTTTATTTCTTAACAAATTTATTACAGTACAAATTCCATAACACGGACTCGTCGGGACTTTGGCAATTCCGGATTAGGAGTTTTTCCGGATTATAGATCATCAATTTAAATCTGGTAAGATGGCATGCAGAAATTATACAATTAAAAATATGAAACCGTAATTTATGAAATAAAGAGTAATTATGATCTAAAGGGTATCAAAGTTTACAAAAAAAAAAAGCTTAATATTTATTTGTTTACTTTATTAAACATTTCTTTCAATGTAAGTTGTTTAAGCTGCTTCGTTTTTTGCACTCTCTTTAATTCTATAATTAATCTCTCTTTAATTCTATAAACAGACATAATTTCTTGTTCAGTTACAAAGTTCCACCTATCGGAAACGGTATTTTCTGGATCCAGAACCATACTACAGATTTCACCATCTGTTGATTGATGATTGGGGCATTGCCGCCGCAATGAAAAACTTATGTTATATCATCTTCATTTATTACTGCTTCTCCACATTATTTATTACCGCTTCATTACAAAATTCAGTAACTGGAAAAGAATTTCACCTTTAGTTTGTGATGTCCGAAAACCTTCAAACACGCGGCTATCATCTTCAGCGTCCTCACCATTAATTATGGTAGCTGGCCATAAATTATGCCAAGCATTTTTGAACGTATCTCGAGACATCCTCTCAATGCATACAGCATACAAAAAAAAGTTTGTGGCTTCAAGGTCCGGATTATAGATCATTCCGGATAATGGACGTCCAGATTACGGACTTTGCACTGTATCAATATTCAATCATTTCTGTTGTTTTTCGTGCCTAAAACGGTAAAATAACCGATGTCGCAAAAAATATGATGCACACATGCTCATGTAAAATTGCCGTGTGCTGGAAGGTTAAGAAGAGATTCTGTAAATGAATAAAATAAAAAAATATGTTTTTCACTTACCATCATAACAACTTGATCCTTTGCATAAAGTTCCTTTATCTATATCACATATAGCACCAGTTTTTCCAACTGGGCATTTGCATATATACCCCAAGAGTGTTTTTTCAGGATGACAGATACGATAGGATGGGCAGGGTCTACGGGAACATTCATTGATAGCAAGTTCACACTGAGGGCCTGAAAAGTTGGAAATAAAAATCAGTTAACATACAGTACACACGCACACACACACATACATGGGGGGGGAAAACTTATTAAAAGTTAAAAACAAATCAAATAGTATAACAACCAAATAAATAAAGGAAATAAAAAAATAACCTTTTCCAAATATATTGATATGTAAAAATGTTTACAATTTATGGCTTCCTTTACTCAAACAATGAAATAATTTACTGGATACTGGAATTTAGAATATAAGTCAATCCCCTTGTTTAATACATTTGGAAAGAAGAACGCTTTTAGAAATAAATGGAAAAACGAATGATACTTATGAATTCTCATGCATAAAAGATGAAATATCCATACTTTATTTGTGCAGCATATATAAATTTTCTTGTGAATGCCATTTTGTATAAATAACACAAACTTGCAGACTTTTGAAGCTGAGGATAAGTGAATTTATCTAATCTCTTACACAGAAGGAAACAAAAAATCCATTACAGCATTCCATTGCTAGGGCAAAAATCAAAATTTTTATTTTATAAAGGCTAAAATAATTGCTTGGATAAATTAGCCCCATAACTTGGATTACTTCAAAACTTCCAGGATCTTCTTCATTCTTGTTGAAACTTGGAAGAACTTGCTCTGAACTCCATCTCTATTCTTTCAACCATACACTTTATTTTCTAGATGGCTTCTGCTGAAAATGTTTCAAATAAATTGCAATTTAGAATAAATTTTATATTTATTTGCACTAACTTTGTAGTTTAATTTTTCATTTGTTTGTTTTCCATGTAGCATAAAGTTATAAAGATTACAATTATTATTCGGAGCCAAAGCATCAGAATTAATACTTGTATTTTTACCATCAACTTCGCATCATACATTAAGTTTGATCCAATTTTTCTTTTTAGAATGCAGCAAAACACCTCAATTACCTCTTCACAGCAAGGTTCTGCTTAAATTTGAATTTTGTATCTAAGATAGTACTGCTTAGGCCACTGGTCAGCAAACTGCAGTTAATGACCCACATACAGCTCTTTAGCAATTTAAGAGTGACTCTGCTACAAATCAACTCTGACTACATGCAAGCAAGCAGGGTATAGGTTGGATTAACCTAGTACAAGTGCACAAGAAATACAACACAGAGTAGGCATATGCGACTAATGGATTAGCTGAGCGAATGCTAGCCAATCATGGCTTATCCACCAGTGCATACAATGCTCAAACCTGGATTTCTACATAAAAAGTCTCATGTGATCGACAACATTACCTACCTACTCTGTGCATTATGCTACTTGTACCTTTCAAATAAGCTGAAGAACTCAAGAGGCATTTTCAGCATGAGTTTAATAAGTTGTAACTTTACTGTGAATTTAAAGTTCAATGGATTTAGTCAATCAAGTGTATACAAAACTCAAATGCCCTTTCAACCTGTCCCATTTGTGAAAAAAAACTGGTTCATAACAAGTTACCACATTTGGAAAGACACTTACAACTAATCATGCGTCATTTAACAGTAAATATACTGCCAATGATAAGGGGAAGAAGTTAAGGAACTTCAGAAGAATATCAAGAAGAATAAAGTTCTTCATTTAATTACTGAGTGTAATATTCCAACAATATGTACAACAACAATACAACTTGTAATGTTAATATTTCAAGTTTTATTGTTAGTCAAGTGATTCCTAAAAGTTGCAAATTATATACAGACAGTAAATACATTAAAAGCTGTTCCATAGATGCATTTGAAGAGATATTTCGGGATTTTGAAACAAGTCAGAAATTCTTAAAAGAATTAAAAAGCTACCACAATCTGTTAAAACAGTAAAAGATAGAATGTCTTTGAATGTAACCAATCAGCAAATTGAAGATCTTAAATTAGTTTCCCCTTTATCAACAGCTGTTGACGAATCCTGTGACATAAATGACACAGTGCAAGTTTCACTTTTTGTTCGATTTATTTCGTTTATGGGTCTAAAAGGAGAACTTTTAGGCTTATTCCCATTGAAAGGTCAACCATGCGAGGATTTTGCAAATGCTATCATTGAATGCATGGAGAAATAACATATTCCACTCAATAAAACTGTTTCAACAGATAGGGGAAAAATAAGACTGGAGTGAGAACAAATTTTGTTTCCATTTTGAAGTAAAATATTAATCACATCAACAAAAGGCACTCTGTGCACAAATATTTAAAGATGGAATTTGCAATGTTATGGAATTGGTGATTAAGATCAACAACTGTAGCTCTTTACCATTGCCATTTAAAGAATTTTTAGTTGAAATAGCGAATGAATATGCAGATCTTTTGCTGCATAATTAGGTACCTTGGCTTTCAAGAGGAAACTTTTAAAACATTTCACTCCAAAACATTTGCATTACAAATTAAAGCATTTCTCTTTGAGAAGGGTGTTGACTATCCTGAATTAATGGATGATAAAAGGATCCAAAAAATTTATTTCATGGTAGATGTTATGTCTCATCTAAATTATCTTAATTGTAAACTACAGGGAAAAGGAAACACATTGTTTTTCGATATTGGAAGAATGTATTTCATTCGAATACAAATTACCACCTTTTGCTCAAGGTTTTGAAAGAGAAACATGAATTCATTTTATAAACCTGCTGAAACATCCCTGAGAAAATAATCTGGATTGAATTTAAAATTGAACAGTGACATTAGTCTTTGTTAAAAATCCTCTCAGTGCAGATGTAACATAATTGATTTTTCCTCCCTTTAATATCGACACTGGAACAATGTTTAATTCATGCAATGCCGAATTTGTGAAATTCTCTGATGTGTTTTGCTGTGAGCATTATGGATGTGTAGCAAATCTGTTTTCACTTAAATATAAATCAGAGAATTCCACAAATTCAGCCTTGCACACAGCATTGGCATTGCATATCATATTATATGCAGTGGCGTAGCTAGGGTGGGACAAGAGGGGACATCTGACCGCGGGCGCAGCATTCAAGGGGCGCCAAATTCATGCTACGAAATGTTTTAATTAAATGTTTTCCATTCTTGGCACACAGAAAGGGGCGCAAATTCTTCAGTTGTCCCGGGCGCTGGAAACTGTAGCTACGCCCCTGATTATATGATACCATTATCACAAATTCATTTTTTTATTTGAAGGTTTTATGTATCACTAGTGTTGCCATCATCTAATAGTTAAATTTTGTGCCATTTAGCACTAAGTGGCATATAGATAAGTACTTAAAATTTTGAGTAGGGAAGAGAAGCTTTTAATTTATCAAAGCACTTTTAAAAACAAAGAAAATAAAATTAAGGTAGTTTCAGATTATCTGGACCACCAATTTCAATTTTTGGTAGAATTGCTTATTTTTGGTATATTTTTTAGCATGCATGCAATAATAAAGCAATCCATGCATGCACATGCAAGCACATATTTCAGCACATATGAACTTACATGTTTCATATTTAATACTTATTTTTCTAAACAACATCCACCAAGTGCAGAAATGTCAAATACTTCAAAGTTTTCTTTTTCTACATAAAATGCTTTTTTTTATTATAATTCATGTATAAAACAGTATCTCTAAGGTGTAAAGGTAGCCAAACATGTTTTTCCCAGTTTATGGAGTCTCAAATGAATTGGTGACTTTTATTGGAGTAGATAATTAGAAAGGACCAAAATTAATAACTATATAATAAAATTACCTAATTAAAAATTAATTTCAAATTTAAAACACTACACCATGTGCAGACAAATTCATTGGAAAACAAAAATTTACATTTTATATTGGTTAATCCATTTATTTCACTTTGACTAGAGCATGTACACATTAAATACAAGAAACTTGTTTTTGTGCTCATGCGATTCCATTCAGCTGAATTGGAAATATCTATGATTTCCAGATGCCTTCTTCATGATACAGCTTTGCATAATTTGAATGGCAGACCTTGAAATGAACTCTTTTCTAGACCACAACTTGTTCCTGGTCCCTAACTCACCTTGTGCAGCTGCAGTACCAACTTTCATGATTGTCTTCATGCTCATTTTTTTTCATTTTGACATCACGGACTCTCCTACATATTCTTTTTGTATGATTGGACAAGATATGACTTCTTTACATTTGGATGTATTACATTTACATTTGGTGAGATTCTGTACAGCCCACTGTCTAATGGCCAAATGACAGGCATTTTATAAATAAATAGAATGTTTTTATGCTCATCTTCATGGTCATACTCACCATTCAAGTTCATTCTGCAGCTTGATGGGTAAAAAGACACGGCTGCATCAATAGTGATAAAATAAGACACTAAAAATTAAAAAGCTGGTGATTTGGTTATCTAGCAGAAGATTTAAAGATATGAAGAAAAACCCGGACAGTTGGCAGGTATATACATATGTATACACTGGTGTGCAAAAATTAAGGACGAAGTCGAAAAATTAGCATATCAGCTGAACGAAGAGGCAGAGCGGACAGAAAGACCAATCAGGAGATTAAGTAAGGTGATGTACGGTAGCACATGCGCAGATATGCAGGTAGACGTAATGGGGGAGCGTCTGAGTAGTATAAAGCATGTTGTCGGTGTAAGATCAGTATTTCTGGCAAAGAGATTGCACGCCGTATAGCAGTTAAAATCACACCGAGTTGCTGCCTCAGCGAGAAATGGCGAATAATCAATCTGTTAGACGACATCTGGATGCTTTTACCCAAGGTCGAATCATTGGGAAGTTGGAGGAAGGCCGCAGTGTGACAAGTGTGGCTGCAGAGTTTGGAATTGCTCACAGCATCGTTTCACGATTTTGGAGAAAATTTCAAACTACAGGAACAGCTATCCTGGGGTTTAGTAGTAGTCGTCCACGAGGAACCACACCCGCAGATGACCCGTATATTGCCTTACAGGCCAGAAGAAACAGGCGGCAGACAGCGGGAGAAATCGCTAGACACACGACACAGGTGACTGGATGACCAATATCGCGTTTTACCATGGCCAGAAGACTGCACGGTGGTGGTCTGTTTGCACGACGCCCTGTACGGTGTGTACCTCTAACGCCTGCCCATCGGAGAAGGCATTCTCTGTGGTGCCGGGAACACAATTGGAGAGACAATGAATGGGGACGAGTACTCTGTACAGATGAGAGCAGATTCAGTCTGAGTAGCGATTCTCATCGCATACTCATCTGGAGAGAGCGGGGAAGCCGCAATCATCCCTCGAACATCATTGAAAGGGACAGGTATGGAGGTGGCAGTGTTCTCGTTTGGGGAGGCATCATGCTTGGTAGTCGTACAGACCTTCACATCGTCGACGCAGGTTCAGTCAACGGGACCCGTTATTGTAACGAGATTCTTTTTCCATATGTGCGTCTTTTTAGAGGCGCTGTGGGTCCGCAGTTCCTTTTCATGGACGACAATGTACCATGTCATCACACAGTAGCTGCCGAACAGCTCTTAGAGAGTGAGGATATTGAACGTATGGATTGGCCGGCACGATCTCCGGATCTCAATCCCATCGAGCATGTATGGGATTTTCTAGGCTGATGCTTGGCAGCTCGTACCTTACCACCAGTAATGATTCCGGAGCTTCGATTGGTGTTGCAAGACGAATGGGCAGCAAATGCCTCAACAACTCATTGACACCCTCATTCTCAGCATGGGCAGACGCTGTGAAACCTCCCTAGCAGTCAGGGGAGATCATATCCCCTATTAAAGACCAGATGTTTCTTGCTGGACCCCCATCACAGGGATGTTTCGGCCTTCAGTCGCATTGCGCTCCATGCTACTTTTTCAATAAAGCTTCTTTTTATCTCTCTGATTTCTCTTTTAGTAAGTGTTGCTTACATTACTCATGTCCTTACGTATTGGGGATCTTACGGTATTAAATGTGTTGATTTGGAAAGCTTTTGTACAAAGTTATATTGAAAAAACCGTCTCGTCCTTAATTTTTGCACACCAGTGTATATCATACGGCACTCTAAAATCATGCCTAGTCAAGAACATTTACATTTTTAATGCTGCTGTGATAGGATGGGAGCAGCCATGCAGTTTCTTAATGGGAACACAGGTAGAAGCAAAAGTATGCAGCTAATCCAAAATGGAATCTTACCAGGAGAGCGATTGGTTTAGGTTCCACATTAAATAAAATTAAGGCATTTAAGGTAAGGTATGTCAACAGTGTTAATTAATTAAATTAAGGTACTAGGTGTTAAAATTAAGGTAAGGTATATAATCAGTATTATTATTACGCCATATGTATGGATGGATCTAGAAATGACACAGTTGATTGAAAGAAAGATCATGAGAGAAAGGCATTATTATTTTTTTAAATAGAAAGGGGAATTAAGGGGTTATCGCTAGTTTAAACCATAATTTTCTTTTACATATATTTTACCTTACATATACCGTATTTGATGGCATATAAGACACACCCTTATTTAGATGGCCACACACAAGGAAAAAAAGTTTCAATAGCGTGGTTTCTTTTAGTTCTCATGTTTTGTAAAAGCCAAATAAACAATTATTGAATGCATTTACCTTCACGTATAAGATGCGGGTAACTTTTTTGAGACCAAATTTAGGAAAAAAAGTGCATCTTATATGCCGTCGAATACGGTACATATGCAAACAATATTTACTTAAAATAGATAATATAATATTAAAATCATAAACTAATTATGCCTAAAGAATATAAAAGAAAATAAATTCTTGGTAATACCTCCAAAACCAGGTTCACAAATGCATTCCAGCTTACGAGAATGTTGAGGGCAAACATAACTCATAGCATCAGTTGTTATGCTAATTGCAAAAGCCTTATCCAATACAATAAGATCTACACAATCTCCATTTACACAACGATCCACAGTACAGCGATCTTCCATGATCTAATTAGAAAACAATCACGTGAAAAATTTTTACTATACATACAGAAAAAGGAAATATGAACAATAATTTGTTTTTACTACTTGTATACTTTTCAGCATACAAGCATATGAACATAATACAGAATATGAACCAAATTACATAATATAATTTTTACATGTATAGAAGTTTTTAATTGCAGTATGATGTAAGTGATCTGGGAATGTTACTTAAAAATAAAAAAACATTCTGTACATTTCCATCATTTAATTATATAGATTGATTGCTATCATACAATCTACTAATTAAATTACTATTAATTAAATAGTATAAATCTGACACATATTTTCATTTTTAACATTCACATAGCTTTGATATGCTCACCTTTACTACTTTCAACCCAACACTTGCTTCCAGAATATCAGTCTTTTCTTTTACTTTAATCCTAACTTTATCTGGTTGAAGGAAACCATTAGGGCCTGCATGCACAGCAAAGACAATATCCAGATCTTGTTGAGTACTGCGTTGACGTCTGTATTTTTCTTGAAGTGTAGGCTGCAAGCTAATTAGCTCAACATCTTTCATTCTAACATTTAAAATGTTTCGCAAACCTCTTAAGAATCCTTTTTTGTAAGTCAATAAGAAATCCTCTGGAGTTACATCATCTAATCTAATAGCAACACTGTTCATAACAGCCTCTGCAGTAATCATACTAACTTCAACAGAAACAGTTGTGTAAGTGGTATACTTCCCATCACTTATGCTTACATTTACTTCATATGACCCAACATCTAAGCCTGGAAGTGCCACAATAGTACCATCTTCACGATCAATAGTGAATAAATTATGATGAGGAGATATAATGTCAAATATCAGCTTATCATAAGGATCTTGATCGGTAGCATGGACTCTGCCCATTACACCACCAGGGAATTCATCTAAGTATGAGCTAACAGATACATCTAATGGAGTCACGACTGGAGGGTAACGACTTTCTTCAATCACAATAATATTTACCCATGTATCACTATACAAAGGAGGTGTTCCACCATCTGTTACTCGAATTTGAAGAGTGAATTCACTTTGATTTTTCACATCAAATTTGTTTGCAGTTCTTAGAGTAGCATCTTGTTGGACTACTCGAAAAGCATTATCCTCATTTCCGGACAGAATATCAAATATAAAAGGGCCAGTGTTTGGTGGAGCATCTTGATCTGTTACAGTAAATTTCAGCACTGTAAAACCAAGAGGTTTCCCTTCCTAAATAAAAAAATAAAATAATTGAAGAGTTTTAAATAAAAATTACAAATAGAAATATTTATTTTAATTTCATATGTAAAATAAAAAAAGGAATTATTATATTATTTAAATAAAATATAGTACGGTCAAAAGTCGTTAATTCAGACACCCATAATTCAGACCTCAAAGCTACAAACTTTCTGCGCATGCGTCGCTTTGACGCATGCTCAAAATACATTTACGAGTGCACGTTTAATGTATAACGGATGGTAGAAGCTAAGCTAAAATTATCTAATTATCTATTCAGTTAATGTTGCAGATTGCATTGTTCCTTAATCTTCGAATTGGATCCAGCTTATTATTTTTTGCAGACTGTTAGAGCAATTTTATAGAAGTAAGCTTGAACTTTCGATTATGTCAAATAGAATTTCTGATATATATTTACTAATATGTAAAAGATCTACAAAGCGAAAGTATGTTTCGAAGTTCATTAAACAAAAAGAGGAATTGTGCAAAAAATGGATAAAGGCAGATCCTTTGTTTATCTAAACTTTAACGTTTGTTTATCTTTAACACCGTGGCACACAATGAATTGGAAGTTGATCTGTCAGCACTATCCTTATCTTCAGGGCAGATGTTTTTATTTTATTTGGCTTATAATTCCTTACTAAATTTAGTATTTCATCTCGATGTACTCTGATATGATTTAAATCAAATTCCTCGTCATTATAATTCGCTTCCGATAGCGAAGAAAGCGACAGAGGTTATTGAAAACGAAAAAATTTCGACTGACACAGCAATTATAGGACTTGAACAGTGGAACTTTGTAACTGAACAAGACAAGAAATTATGTCTGTTTATAGAATTAAAGAGAATGTATTATCACATAAAAAACGAAGCAACTTAAACAACTTACATTGAAAGAAATGTTTAATAAAGTAAACAAATAAATATTAAGCTTTTTTTTGTAAATTTTGATACCCTTTAGATCATAATTGTTTTTTATTTCATAAATTACGGTTTCATATTTTTAATTTTATAATTTCTGCATGCCATCTTACCAGATTTAAACTGATGATCTATAATCCGGAATCGCCGAAGTCCCGGCGAGTCCGGATTAACGACTTTTGACTGTACATGATGTAAAACTAGAAAATATTTCCTTTATGAAAGCAGTTTTTCTTCAAGAATCCCTGTTTCACAAATTCAAAATTTAAGTACATTGTATCATTTAGCATTAGAATGCAGCAGTAGCAAACTTATTACAGGCAAAGTTTGGGCCTTTATAATTCCCAAACTATTTTAGTTCTGAAAGCAAAACTTAAGACTAATCTTAAAATTACATAAATATTTTTTGGTATAAAAATAATAAAATTTTACCATGAAAGACAGTTTAGATTCAAGTTAGAGGCATGCATGCACAGAGCCATGGCACCACGCACAGAGTCAAACTGATCACTCTTATCAATATTTTCCCAAGAACTTATAAAATGTATTCATTTATCATAAAAAAACTTTCACATAATGAAAGTAAATACTATTTATGTATGATGAATAAGTAATATATACAAACAACACAGCTTACCAAATAAGTGCAAAAAGTTTGCTTATCAAGAAATACATAATATAATAAATCATGTTTTTCCAAATGTGATCCGAGAACGTTTTTTCAGTATATTGAAGAATATCTATGTAAGCAAAATGTTTGTATCACTACACCTCATGTAATCAATGTAAATGCATCTCATATATATATATAATTCATAATAGGAGACACAGCTAAAATTATTTCACAATTACGAAAGATAAAAGTCATCTTAAAAATAGTTAAAAATAGTTATCTGAAATGCTACAAAAGTTACAAAGTAGCTCAATATTATGTCATATTAAAAATAATAATTTTCCATATTTTGTAACACTTATATAAAATTTAAAATATAAAAGAACATGATTATTTGGAACAATAAATTTATTGAGAAAGAGAAATATATCCTCCAGTGAATATTCTAGAGCTGCTCTTTGTTACTGAACACGGATGGTATATTCCAAACATATTAGACCAAAATATTGTTACGAATTTTGTACATGGCTAGATGATTTCAGTGCAATTATATGCGAAATTGTTGTATTTTTCTGTGTAATATAACATGAAAAATCTAGAGAGACAAGATATGCCATAAAAGTAAGACTACGGGGCAAGTCCATTTTTGTGATATTGTTTAGAGTTGTACGACTATCTTTGTGGATAGCTTCAGATATCTGAAAAGTTTCATTTGACAAAATAAATCTTGTCAACCTATCAGCGGAGCTGCGGACATTCAATCTACGATCTCGTATTATGAACCTGCACACATGCAACAATATCTTAATTCTGATACCTTTGCATTCATCTGAAAAAATAAAGAGCATATAAAATAAATTCCTAAAGCCACAGTCCTGCTAAAACATTAACTAGCTACAATATATTTTATAAATATTTTAGAAAAATTTTTAAAATATGCTTCCCGAAAGCAACTTTGAATCATTGGCCAGCCCAAGTATTTTATGAGTTATTTTGTTCCAGCTGCAATAAATACATTTCCAAAAAGGTTTTGCAGAAATCAATGTCTTAGAGTATGTTTTCTAAAGAGGGATTTGCTAAGGGAAATTTTTTTTTCTTTTAAAATATATATTTTTCCTACTTTCTAAATTATATTGCACTTTTTTTTACCTTAATTTAAAACTTTTAATAAAATGTTCATATAGTTAAATTTGCTTAAAATCCTGATTAATGCATCAGTTCAGGTTTGCTCATTATATGGGCAGAAATGAAACACTTGGGCATCAATTAAACAATTTTAAATTATTCTTTAACTGTAAAAATGATTTTAAAGCAATTTTACATTCAAACATTTAATTTTTCATCTTAATAGATCATTCAAGAAAGAGAACAAAGAGTTTTCCATTCTTATCTAAACAATAGAATAATAATTTTCACGTGGCAATCAAACTGATTACTGTTACAAGTGTAAATAAATTTTGTGGGTCTGGTGTCAAAATATTATGTTTTTTACATAAAAGCACCTCTGAGTGAGGTTTAAAGAATAAAGATGCAGAATAAAGATGAAAGAAGTAAACATCATAATTTTTTGCTTTTAACATGTTAAACTTAAAGGAGGTTAATTTACTCTTTCAGTCAGTTTTTACTAAGATACCTCCATGTTATTTAAAACGATGAAAGAAATTATTACTTGGTACTTTTAATGTTTGAAATAAAACTCAGATTAACAGCATAAGTTGTTTTTATGTCAGAAGTTCTTTTTGACTAAGGAATGCCCCTCTTCAAAAAGAGAGTTATGGAAACGTTATACGATTTAAATGAAAATTGTACTAATTTATTTTAACTGTCAGAGGATTTGATTTAGCCCACTTTCTATAAAAGAAACGTACATTTGTGATACTGCAGTTAATGTTGCAAAAAGAATCAAGTCATCCCTTAACCATTTGGCCCAAAGTCACATTATGAGCTAGTAGTTGTTTAACCTTTTGATGGTCGAGCTCAGCTTGCATTCCAGTTACAAAAAGGAATAGGCACAAACAAACACAGCTGACATTATAAATTTATAATTGACAAATATCGCACATATTTGAGAAGAAAGAATTGCTGAAGAGTTAAAAAATGTAGCCAGTGTCTCATTGATTAGAAAGAGGTTCATGTCATGCCATAACTACCATACGCACCAAATTTCTGATTTCCTGATTCCAATTTTCTCTAATATCAAGATAGTTCTATAGGATTAATATTTTCAAATAAAGCAACCTATTCAAAATAATGCAATGACATTTTTGAGATAGATACCAAAAGAATCACTCAACCAATACATTCAAGAATATACAGCTTGCTGGAAGAAGTGTGCATGTTCTGATGGATAATAGACAAACTACACAATATTTTTTTTTACATTTAAAATACAGTTGCTTGATAAGCATCTTCTTGATAAGCAAATTTTTAAATATAGAAGTATTTTCATATAACCTAAATTCTGCCCTCTATTTTGCACCCCGAATCTCCAGAACCTAAGCTTGATTCAAAAAAGTGATGTTAATATATATCATAGTATTAATTAATTAGTTTTTGCTTTTTATTTTCAATTAATGAAACAATAAATTAAAATTTTGCTTTATAAAATAATGTAATGCATATCATTTTTATAATATCATTGTTACGGGCAATATGTTCTTTGAAAACAAAGCAATAATCTGCACCTGACAACATAATCTACATTAATCTCATAATTAATGTGAAAACTTTCATGAATTTCATTAAATTTTACTAAAGAATAGAAGCAACCGGATGCATAAATAAATAAAAACATCAAGGAAGTGCAGGACAAGTAAACATCTGACTAATTTAAACAAACATACTGTGCAACTGGGAAGAGGAAAAACAGCTGATCAGGAAGGATTTTGAAATACTTACCCTTTTCCTATTTTTATCCAATTTGTCCAGCTAAGAGAAGGATAGGAAAGGAGAAAACATGATAGAGAAACAGGCACAAATGCATGCTTTTGGAACATGTAAAATACATAGATGCTGATGTACTATATTATGAAACCAAAAATCACCGACTATCTTTAGCTCTTCAAGTATGCTCGCCACATGACATAAATGCCTATGATAGTGCTATAAAAATATAAGCACATTAACATAATGAAAGCACTTGTATTTAGAGGACAATTGGAACCTATATCTATCACACAAAGATTTTTGACAACAGAATGAGCCTTAGTTTACTGTGAATAGTATTATTGTAAAAGCAAATTATCACAAAAGCAACACCCATTATGCGATAACAAGAGAACAAGAGAAATTTAAAAACTAGCTGTCAAACAAAATCATTAGAGAGCTATAGTAAATAACACAAATGAGTTTTGAAGTAGCTCAAAAACAAAGACAACAATAGGACTATCTATCAAGGTGATTTTATTTGTTTTTAGTGCTCCAAGGCTACTTTATGACACCAACCATTATCCAGTGCCATTTTGATTAGTGCATCATTAAAAGTATCCAACGTCACTTGAAAAAGTGAAACAACATTAGTGTGCTGTAAATTAATGGATAGGGTCTAATGAAATGGTAAGTCATGGTGAACCTATATGTGCAGATGGCTGATACATAGCTTTGTATGCAGAGTATGGCTGAAATTTAGAGGTATTAGCATAATGACCTGAGGCTTTCTCTGCCCCTGAGCTCTGAGGCTTTCTCTATTGGGACTTAGCTTTTTAGTTTCAACCTCCTGGATCTTTGGAATCCACTATCTATCAAGATACTTTGAGCAAGAACATAATATACAGTACAAAGTCCATAATCTGGACTCGTCGGGACTTCAGCGATTCCTGATTATAGATCATCAATTTAAATCTGGTAAGATGGCATGCAGAAATTATACAATTCAAAATATGAAACTGTAATTTATGAAATAAAGAGCAATTACGATCTAAAGGGTATCAAGGTTAAAAAAAAAGCTTAATATTTACTTGTTTACTTTACTAAAAATTTCTTTCAATGTAAGTTGTTTAAGTTGCTTCACTTATTGTGCTAAACGCGCATGAGTAAAGCATACAAAAAATAAATAAATAAATAAATAAATAAATAAAAAGAGGTTTGTGGCTTTGAGGTCTGGATTATATGGATTATAGATCATTCTGGATAATGGATGTCCGGATTACAGACTTTGTACTGTATTCACAAATACGATGCTACTTAAAAGTTTATGACATGCAAGTACAGCACAAAGACCTGAAATCAATCTTTTTATACATGCTTCAGATGAGCTGCTGTTTTGGTGTATAAAGGACAATACTGTACTAAAATCACCATCTATTATCACTCATCAACTGTTTTACCTGCTACTGTAGCAGGGTAAGCCAATTTCACGATAGTTAATCAGAACTTAATTGGAAGACTACTCCAAAAAGGTAACAACTGTGATAACTGGGGAGGGGGTCCAAGTTCCTATCAGTAATGCAGCTGTAACTCTAAGAAATTTCAGCAGTGGTGTGTTTGGTGATTTTTGGCTACATAGTGTTTATGAATAAGAGATAAACCAGATTTTAAATAATCCCATTTTACTACAAAAATTGAAAACAAAAAATACTTGCGCATTGTAATTAATTAATTTTTTATGCTTCATTTAATTTTGACTAAGATAATTCTAATTAAAGCGATTTCATGGAACATATACATATAACCACGTACGCATGTACATGTAAGTAGCTAATTAACATTAATTAAGATCAATATTTTTTTATTTATAATGTAAAACATAGATTTTGCTGTTGTGTTGTAATAGATCTAAAATGTTAGTTTTTAACTCTAAACAATATTAAGTCATTAAAAAAAACTTTAATAAAGCATAAAAATATCAGAACTACGCACCATTCATTTAAAGGGAACACACAGATACATGAAAATCATTTTAATTAGATATATTAAATGCTCCAAAAAAGTCATTAAATAGAGATGCTCTTGATTTGTTTTAACAGCAGTGGCACTCATAAATCTATCTTTTTCATTAATAATTCTTAAAATATTTATTTAATGATCAAAACATAATTTTTAAACAACAAATTTAAAACATATAATTATGAATAATTATGAATGGCTGAAAATATCAAAATTAAACATCTTTTATGAAAGGGACTTTAAAGGCAAAAGCCCAAATAATTCCTACTGTTTTACATCTTGAAATTCAGAGAATTTCAGTTCTTATATTAGAAACTTCAAGTTTATAACAGTTAGCTAAAGTAAGACATTTTCTGGTCACTCTCTCTTTCCAGTCACAACACACCTCTTTAAAACATTTGAAGGATTGGTGCATACAAAAAATTCAGTGCACAATAACCATGCAGGCTAATTAACCGAATAAATGTCATGCACATAAAAAGTGCAACAATATTTTTTATACCATGCTTATATGGAAATTCCTGGATGTTCTAAACATTTTGCGACTTGCACACATAAAAGAAACTAGTTGCTTCTTAAATGACAAAACCAATTATTATAATAAAAAATATAGATACATTTTCTTATTTAAAAAATTAATGAATCCTTACCTGAACTATAGCAGTGTAATTATCTTCAGAGAAAAGGGGCGGATTATCATTAATATCAGAAACTTCAATATTTACAAAACTGGAACTAGATAAAGTTGGTTTCCCACTGTCTTCAGCACATATTTCAAGAACATAATTTGAGACCTAATGATAAGCAAGCCATAAAAGATATACAGCAGGTAATATATAATACTACATATTGAAGAGATGCTTGAAACTAACAGCACGTTACATACATAACAATATTGTACAATAAATTGCATTTTTGCATTTACTATAATTCTTGAGAATCATATTAAAAGTTATAACAATGTTCAGCTATATTTCCCCCATTTGTTTTCATATTTCATTTTTGAAATAAAAATGTCTTTTCAAATATTGCTAGTATCATAAATTGACACACTGTCAATTTAATAATTATTATCCTCAGATTATAATCTATCATAAATACAAATAACCTAACAAACAGAATTATACATTTAGCTATTGTAACACTTTTCAAGAGACCAAATAAAATAATTTTATTCTTGTCAGTCAATATATTATGTGTATGTGGGAGGGTAAACCCCACTAATTAATGGTACCATGAGCCTTAAATTATAAATGCATATTATATAAAGATTAAGTGTCTCTCTTAATTTATTTTTAACATATTTTCATTACTTCTATTATAATTAAGTATATATTAATTATTATAGCTTGGTTTGGACATTAAAATTAAAACAGATCACATTTATTAGCAGCACAATAGTTAAGAAAAGACCCATTTCCATGCACAAACATTATACTTAATATGGTAATGCTGTTGCCATCTGCAGACTAGCACTTCGATTACAAACACACTGTAAATATATTATAGCAATTACATCATTATTTCTGTGCTGATCTTTCATATTATGCAAATGAGCTTATGATTTCAAAATATGGATACATGCATTATTTATTTTATGTGCATAGATATTACACACTCATACTTAACATAGAGGAGAAAAAAGATAGAAACAGAATTTCTTGGGAATAAAATTATATACCATCCTTGATAAGGGGATCCTTAAGGGATAAATATGTTTTATTGAAACTCTAAATACATACATTTTGTAAAAATCGTATAAACATTTAAAAAAAAAGTTTTGCAAAAATTATGGGGTAGAATAACTTAAATATGTAATGTACCCCCCCTGCATGAACACTTTTCTCCCTGCTTTCAAATAAATTACAAAACACTTCAGTTGATAACTTTAATTCCCACTGCAGTTTATTCAAAGATCTTGGAGGGAAAGATAGAACAGCAATTTATCTGCTAAGTGTCCCAACGAATGTTTAATGCATTTCTTTATACTGAATTTTGGGGCTTTCAACAGATTCATTACAGCTGCTTTATACAGTTGAGCATTAACATCTGTTAAAATAAATGAATTACCTATATTGACACATATGGTTTAACTGCTACTGAAGTCTTGATAACTCAGATCATACAGACACAAACAAAAATACAGATAAAGCATAGATGATTAAAAAAAAAAACTACCGCCAAATTTGGATACTACTTTGTACTTTTTGGGAGTTCCTTTTGGGAATGTTTTACTGTGCGTGTATTCTATTCTGATATTTCCACTCTCCAGATCACAAGAAAACATGAGTTACAAATGCTCTTTTGCTCACAGCATATAACATTTCAGTGGCATATATTCAGAAGGTCGAGTTAACAATTCTTTTCTATTTGTATATCTGAAGCAGACAAACTCTACACAAAAGGAACAGAAATAATCATCAGAAGAAATTTTCACAGAGGTATGATTAAAGTATTATTAAAACTAGAGATTTTTTAATGAACTGATTTCACAGCCTGTTGCTGCCTTGTGACTAACTATTAATTATCTTGTAATTTTACTCTTTGGTATTCTATTTTCATCCAATGAATCATTTGCCACTTTAGTAGATAAGTGAAAAATTTCTCTAAGCTCTCATGTGAAATAATTCACATGAAAGGATTTAACATCATCAATAACTCTTCCAAAGTAAAAGCAGTTATTGATTTGAACAATATATATATATATATATATATATATAACTTGATAATAGTGATATCAAGTTATATATATATCAAGTTATATAATATAACTTGATAATATAACTTTATAATATCTATATCTATCTATCTATCTATATATATGGGGATAGCTTAGCTACAGTTGCCAGCATTCAAAAACATGTGCTGAAATGAATTTCAGTTCTCCTCATCTGAATATTTACAGTATATAATTACAGTATTGATTATTCAAGGAAAAAAGTTGAATTTAAATTAGTTTAATTATGACCAAATCTTAAATTAGTTTAATCATGACTAAATCTTCAATTGATTTAATTATTTCTAAAAGTCTTGTTTCTGAAGAGAGATGCTGCATTCCCAAACAGGCTTAGAAAACATGTATAAATCACATCTTCATTCAATGAAGGATTTTAAATGATCATTTTAGCATGATGAGATCAGCTTATACAAAGTTTGAAATACACTCTTTTGCAAAAAGATTAAAGCACCATGAAGGAAGTGGTTGTTTTTGATGAAACTGAATATGTGTATAGCTCATAAAAAGATAAATAAAATGATTAAAAATTCAAAGTCATAATATCTGTTCACGGCTCACAATCACCCATTGAGTGTTCAAATTAGTATTTGGCTGAACAGCCCCTGGCAGCAATGCATGCTTGAATTTGTCGAGGCAAGGAGTGGTACAGGTTCCTAATGTCATCCTGTGACACATTCTGCCAGGCATTCATAGGTTGTCACTCCAGATCTGCAATATTTTGTGGTGCCCGAATCTGGCGGCCTACTATGTTCCAGACATGCTCAATTGGTGAAAGGTCTGGTGACCTTGCTGGCCAAGGAAGAGTATCAACCGCACGGAGACAGTCCAGAGAGATATGCGAGCAGTATGTAGCCTGGCATTATCTTGTTTGAAAATGGGCCCAGGATGACGTGCCATGAAAGGTAATGCAACCGGCCGCAGGATGGAATCAACATATCGTTGAGTTGTTAAAGATTTAAGGAGGATGACTAAGACGACCTGCTGTCATAAGAAATAACACCCTGCAACATCACACCAGGGGTTATGGCTGATATGCCTTTGTAAAATAAAGGCTGATTAGGACCACTGGCGCCCTCATCTCCAGACCTGAACATGGTGGTCACCTCCTTTAAGAGTGAAGCAGGAGTCATCTCTGAACACTATACGATGCCAGTCTGATGGCAGTCATGATGATCGGCTGCGACACCACTCCAGACAACTCCGTCGATGTTGTGGGATCAATGGCAAATGTCTTAAAGGCTTCTGTGAGCATAACCCTGCCTCAGACAAGCACCATGAGATGGTAGACGGTATCACAGGAGGTATAGACATGGCTGTAGTGCATCGAACAGTCAACAATGATACCGTTGGGGCATTTCTGGCCTGGCGAACAATCATCCTATCTTGTCTTGCATTTGAGCTCCTTGGCCTGCCAGAGCCTTCATTTCATTGTAAATTTCCTTGTAGCAACCATTGCTGCCAACATCTTCGCACAGCAGTGTCTGTATGTTGCAGGTGGCTCCTATTGATCAGTATGACCTCCTAACTTCACGCAACCCTACAATGCGACCATGTTCGAAGTCATTTAGTTGTAACTAAGGTCTTTGATATCATCATAATGGCATCGTTAGTTGCTCTTTACGAAATTACAATGGCAGCAACAAAAAAAGATAAATTTAATGCCTCTGTTACTGGTTTTATACTTTGCAAATTGCACACTAGAAATGCACGCTATGATTGCAATTCCTGTTGATTTGCCTTGAATTTGCATATTCAATGAAGATGTTTTTGCATACCAAATTTCATCATGATCGCAAAAGTCTTTCTTGGTGCTTTGATTGTTTTGCAAAAGAGTGTATCTTGAGAAAAGCCACACTGACTAACAATCAGTGCTCGGCACTGAAAAGATCTGTGTAATTTAATATTGTAAAGATTGTTAGTTTTTGTAACACACATTACTTCATAGAGGAAAGAAAGATGAAAGTGTACGGCCTGATATTCATTATATCATCCAAAGATATGACAATAGAGAATTCTAACACCCTTATTAGTTTTGATTATGATATAATCTGAAAAGATGCTGAAAGTGATGGATCTATGAAGCTGTCTGGTAAGAAGAATAAGTCAAAGGAACAAGAAAATTAGGAATTCTCTAAAATTTTGATTTAATATAGTGAACAATAGAATTAATTAACACATATTTAACAAGTGCAATCATTTATCAAACTTTCTTTTAAGGGTGCTCAAACCTAGAATAAATGGATTACTCATACGTTGTTCAAAGAGAAACATTCTAGATAATTTGAAATGTACATGTTGAATTTTAAACTGCTAACTTCATCTTATAAAGTCAAACTTATATCAAACAACACAGATACACAGGTTATTTCAAATTATACACATGTATAAAAATATATACCTGTATAACTGGAAAAAATTCATGTTTTTTTCAGTTAGAGTTTCACTTTTAAGAAAATGGGAAAAAAGTTTAGAAAATAGCGTAACTAATTTTCCCAACAGTAATAGTAAAAATGAGTGGAGGCTGTTTTGTGTCCCATGTTCCAAAATCTAACCTCCTAATTTCTAATATTCTCCCTCTAAAGATTCATCAGAGAAGCTGCATTCCATAACTGATCACCTAGTGCATCTATGACATGAAAGTAATTATTGCTTTTGTTGATTTACGGAAAATGCACACCTGTAATATCTGGCACTTTCATCATCTCCTTATAATAAATATGCAAGCAGAAATCAGAAATAATAAATATGCAAGCAAAAAAAAGTCTACTTCTTCCTTTTAAAATCTTTGTAATTCAAATAAGTTTAATTTTCTATGCAAACATAGAGAACAGTTAGAAAGACCCCTCTGAAAATCACAAGTCTATGTTTCCACAGGAAATTTAATTTGCATAAATGAGAAACTGTACAAACTTCATATAATATATAATAAAGGGTAGAGATAAATAAACCATATTCAAAATAAATATTTATGCTTTGATAATAATAAATAAATTTATGCTTTAATAATAATAATAAAAATATAAATGTCTTGAAGTAAAAAAAATACCTTCTCTCTGTCTAAATTTGAAGCTAATGATATGTAACCCATATCTTTGTCAATTATAAATTGCCCAAATCGATCACCACCACAAATCGAATACTTTACTCTCGCATTTGGTGGACTATCAATATCAGATGCCAATACCTAAAAGCAAGAAAAATAAATATATATTTATATCTAACAATTTTGAATGAGATTTTATGTAAATTGCCTGTTTTTTTAATAAAACATTTGAGACATTAATGGTTTTATTTCATACCTGGATAATTTTATCTCCAACTAACGCATCTTCTCTCATCACAGCATTGTATGTTTGCTGAGTAAAAACTGGAGCGTTATCATTAGCATCAGTCACTGTAATATTCACTCCAACTTCTGTGCTAAGAGGAGGTGTACCTCCATCAATAGCTTGAACCAAAATATAGTAACCACGAACAGTTTCATAATCCAATGGAGCAGAAAGTGTTAATATGCCTACAAAACAAAAAATTAAGTAACATATAACAATTTCTTAACAAAATACTGATGAGATATAATTCTGATTTGCAATATGTCACAAAAGTAATATGCTAGCATTCAAAATAGAATTTCCCATTAATATATAATTTTATAGGAAATATATAGAAATTCTGAAAGGAAATAAAGATTTATATTGCCTCTTTGATACACACATGATGTGAAGAAACACTGTCATATGAAATTTAAAGAAACTGCTACACATCAGTTGCTTTTAATGACTATTTCTAAGATACAATAAATTATTTTATAGAAAAAAAATAGGACCCCTGTTTTTTTATGCTAATATAAACATTCCATTTATTACTATCATTATAAAAATTTTATTCAGTAACAGTATGGCTAAATTAAAAGTATTAATCCATGAATGACATGCTGAAGTTCTAGATTTATAGTTTTACTTTCACTAATGATTTCCAATATTTTATTTCATACCATGGCAGCATTTTCAAGAAACTCCTGAAAATAACTTGAGTTATTCATGTGTTAATGAAATGCTCATACTATATAATTTATACAAGCATGAATATTTAAGTTCCGTAAAAGTTACGCAATGCTTTGTTGTACTTGACTTCATTATTTGAAGGCTGCAGTACTTGCAAGTACGAAAAATCATAAACTGCACCTAAATAAATCTAATATGAATGCTACAGTATCTGCAAGTATGAGAAACAAGTCAATCCTACTTAATTAGACAAGATGATAATTATAAATTTAATTCATTAATTAGTAATAACAATTTTTTTATCAAAGTATTTACAGAAAAAAAAATTATTAATTAAGAATTTCACAACATATCAGGCACAGGACTCCTTTAATTTTTAGCAATTTTGATTAAAAAGATTAATTATAGTCAATTCTCAATTAACCACGTTAAAAAAGAGTTAAGTTTGTTTATTAGGGAACAATGGGAAAAAATATCACAAACCATCAAAATAAATCATAATTTCTTTAAGAAACACAAGAAGGAATATAAAATAAGTTGAATAACTGCAAGTGATAGCAGATAATCTCTCAGTATTTGGAACTGTTTTCATACAGATTAAACAATTGATACATACTTTTTGATTATAATTTTTAACTGTACATAACCTGAACAATAAAAATATTTTCAGTCATTCCCTAAAAATAATTGCTAAATTGTAAAAATAATCAAGTATGCGGGCATTAATCTTCAGTTTCCCATGGACTTCTACCGAAATGCAAGAATGAAAAAAAAAAAAAAAAAGGAAAAAGGAAAAAAGGAAGAAGCTATATATGTTTTTGTTTTGACCACTGGTTTCATTTACATAACCAAATGAACTTATTCAAACCAAACTGTTTAAAACAGAAATAATAATAATAAAAAAAAAGTATACAGTGTTCCCTTGCCACTTCATGCTTCATGTTTTGCGGCTTCAGTGCTTCATGGGTTTTTCCAAAATATTCATCAAAAAATAAAAATGAAAAAAATACAACCAAAAAAAGAGATGAGTTGACTCTGAATACATACCACGGGTTCTCATAAATGCGTGTGATTGATTTTCGGTGCGACATCGACCAATGAGAGCACGAGTGGATTTATCCCTGTGAGTTGATTGTCTGCGCATCATCGCAATCTCACTTAGGATATTCTCTTGTTGTATCTCGCCAGTCTTGTCCATGATGTTGACCGTCTGGCATACTGTATTTTAATGTTGTGTTGGCGATAACATTTTTTATTAATTAAGCCCTTATAATGCCACCTAAGAGCTGTGCCCCTGCAAAAGCTTCCTCCGGGATGCCAAAGATAAAGAACATGATGACCATCAGCGAAAAAGTAAAACTTTTAGATATGATCAAAGAGGGCAGGAGTTATGCATCTGTGGCACGCCATTACGGGGTGAATGAATCTACAGTGCGGTACATCAACAAACAGGAAGCAAACATCCGCAAAATTGCTTCAATAACCTTTAATAAAGAAGCAAAATGTGTGGTAACTCCATGTAATAACAGAATTGTGAAAATGGAAGCTGCACTGGCATTGTGGATTGCTGACTGCAGGAAAAAGACAGTGAGCTTGGACCCTAATATGATCAGGACAGAGGCCAAAGCTCTCTTCGACCAAATCTTGCCTGATGACAACAATGAAAAGGCTGAAGAAGGTGTTGACATACCTCAAGCCAGTAATAGCGCTGCCAAAAGTGATTCGCCTCCTTATGGACGAGGCTTTTCAGCCAGCAAAGGCTGGTTCAAAAAATTTCAAAAAAGGTATGGCCTCTGAAACGTGCTTCTGTATGGTGAGGCTTCCTCTGCTGACAACGATGCTGCTTGTCATTATGTGGAGGAAGAGTTTCCTAAGCTCATCAGCAAGGGAGGCTACCTCCCTGAACAAGTTCGCGATATGGATGAAACATGCCTTTTTTGGAAGAGGATGCCTTCGCGTACATTCTTCTTCAAGGATGAAGTGAAGAGGCCAGGCTTCAAGGCTCACAAAGACCATGACTGTCATCATGGCTGGAAATGCTGCAGGTTTTAAGCTTAAGCCAGGTCTTATTTATGAAGCCAAAAATCCATGTGCATTAAAAAACAAAAATACAGCTCTGTTGCCCAAGTTCTGGATGCATAACTCCAAGGCCTGGATAACAAAAGCTCTGATCCTTGAATGGTTCCTTCATTGCTTCATTCCCTAGATGAAGCTGTATCGGCTGAAAAAGGCCATCCCTTTAAGGTCCTTCTCCTGATGGACTGTGCAGGAGGTCATGCAACGGACCTGCAATATGACAATGTTCAGATAAGAGTTTCTTCCCCTGAACACTACATCTCTAATTCAGAAGCCGATGGATCAAGGTGTTATTCATGCTTTTAAGGCACTCTAGACTCGCTCCACGATGGAGGGCCTCATCTCAGCAGTTGACGATGCCAATGACGAATTTCCCTTGAAAGCATACTGGCACAGCTACGACATTGCCTCATGTTTGTCTAATATTCAGCGAGCATTAAAGGACATGAAGAGTGAGACCATAAATTCTAGCTGGAAGAAATTTTGGCTGAACGTGGTAGATGACTATCCAGGCTTCACTTCATCACTCAGCGGTGGAGAAGGCGGAGAAACTGGCTCACATCATAAGGAATGAAAGACTTGTTGACATGAGAAAAGAAGACATCAGTGCCCTTATTGACTGCCACTCGGACCCAGTGACCGATGAAAACCTCCTTGAGTCCTTGACAAAGTCTGCAAGTGAGGAAGAAAACAAAGAGGAAGATGAAGAAATAACTGAAAAGTGTGGCCTTACCCTGGAGAAGCTGCAACAATTGTGCAACATGGCAAGAGCGATGCAATAATTTGCACAAGACATTGGCCACAATATGGTTCAAGCTGTCGAGTTCAGTAATCGCGTTGATGGGGGTTATGTCCTTGTACAAAGGAATTTTGAAAGAAAAGAAAAAACAAAGAAAAAAAAAACTACCCATCACCATGTTTCTCTTCAAGGTAAAACCCGCGGCTCTACCGTCCAGCAGAAGAATCTCCGAGTGAGCCTAAAGCTTCTACAAGTGAAGTAAGAGCCTCTCCTCCGCCACCAACATAAGACACTTTGTCTCTCTCAGAAAGCAATGTTGATTAATGTTTATTACTGTATAAGGTTTTGTAATTAACCTTATTAATTAGCACTGACACATTTAAGTAAATACATATACTGTTGTAATTTTTGTCTTAAATGTGTAAAGTATAAATACTTTTACATATTTGAAACATCCTTGTACCCGCATACATGAAAATTCCCAGAGGCAAAACCTACTTCATGGTTTTTCATCTTTTGCAGAAGGTTCTGGTCCCCATTAACTGTGAAAAACGAGGGATCACTGTATATTGATAATTGTACTTTACTGCTATTCAGAGTATGAGCTTTTTTAATTCCCCCCTTTTTTAAATATAAACTCCTTTTGAGTTAACTGTGAATGTCCCGGTATCACTCCTTACCCCAGTTAATTGACAGTCTGCTGTATATAAAAACTTAAAATATTAACAATTGATACATACTTTTTGATTATGCAGAGTATATAGCAAATATAAAAAGTAATAAAGTAGTACCATTAAAATAATTAAATACCTTTTAATAATTGATGTATATATATTAGATCATACAGAGTATATAACAAATATAAAAAGTAATAAAATAGTACCATTAAAACCATTAAATACCTTTTAACGGGTGAACAGAAAATACTTCTGACCTAGGTGATTGAATAATACTATAAGTAATTTCAGCATTAACTCCACTATCTCTACTTGTTGCAGTTAATTTTAAAACTTCGGTACCTATAGCTGCAGTTTCAGGAACCACAGCAAAGTAAAACTTAGACGTGAACTCTGGAGGATTGTCATTAACATCATGAAGCAACACAAGTAAAGTGCAAAGCGAAGAAAGTCTAGGAATTCCATGATCACTTGCTTGAACAGTTAAATTATACATAGCAACTTCTTCACGATCAACTGGTTTATTCAAGCTAACTATTCCTGTAGTTTCATCAATTCTGAAATGGCCATGTGCAGAATCAACCAAATAATAATTGATCATACGATTAACACCTAAAAAAGAAGAAAAAAATGTATAAATATAAATTTAACATAAATAAAGACATCAAATCACCAAATTCCTGTTATAAAATAAAAATTATCAAAATATTATAATTATTGTACACATAGAAAAATTTTTAGCTTAGTAATTGATAAAATATCCTTTTGCAATTAAGAAATTAATTGATAATCTGGTTCAATCTGATTTTACTGCAACAGGATAAAACTATGCACGAATTTCTGATTAGATATTGCCCTTTGATATTTTTTTAACCCATCTTCAATTATTTTTCTAAATGAAAATTTTTATTGTATATTTTAATTAAAGAACATGAAACAATTGTCTAAATACTAAAATTTGCTGCTCATTTTATGAAATAAGTACAAAATTAAAGTATTGCTAATGTTAAATAAATACACACAGTCTTATTGTTTGAAATTATCCATTCATTTTGATTTTTTTAATATAATGGATCAAGAGTTAAGTTTAATTGTGGGATATTTTTAAAAATAAAACAAGTACATTAACAACTAAAAACTGCATTAATTTTGGATAGAATACATTTAATCATAGGCTACATATCCTACTTGAAGTTTGCCACACTTTTGCCAGTCATTAGTATTAACTCTAATCTTTATCATAACCATCATTTAAGTTCCCCTCATTGTAGATAAACTTGACTACCGAGAAAAAACAATTTTTTTTCTGCGTTATATGGAATTTGTTGAGCAATGTCTTCATCAGTACTAGAATCTGAATTACCCTGGCTCCTTTCACACAGCTTTAAATTATAATTATTTATTTAAAGAGTTCACAGATGTGAAATCTGATCTCAAAGCAACTACATAAAAATACACATGTGAGTATGTTCTATTATTATACATATACAAGTTGTATTAAGTTGTGTGTGTGTATGTATGTTTGTAATGAAGCATACTTGTATATAATGATGTAGAAAAGCTGACTGCATAATGTTGAGATGGTGACTTATAATGAAGAGCAAACTTGACAGCTAAGGCAGATTAAATATTCACTTTTTTTATTTCAATACACATTTTGCAACCACAAATAAACTGGCACACTAATCGTGCCTTTTCAAGAAGATTTATATTTTTGATATTGCTGCGATAGGAAGAAAGTAGTCAGATAATGACTTAGCAAGACCACAGGTAGAAGCAAAGTAAGTAACTATCCAATATGGAGGCTTATTAAGAGAATGTTTAATGCTCCATATTAGCTACATCATCAGTATTGTGATGTGAAATTATATCAGTGTTTTGATGTAAAATCATATCAATAATGATATACGATATCAGTGATGATATGTGACATCATATTAGTGATGATATCAATTATATCAGCATGATGTGAAATTATATCAGTGAAATCTTATTCTATGACAGGATTAATCTAGAAATTACACAGTCCAGAAAAGTTATTACTACTTTTAGAATACAGAAAGGAAGCACTCAAATTAAACTGAGAAACTTAAGATACTATTGCTAATTTTAACTATAATTTATATATGTAAGATATAAAATATTAACCCCTTTCGCGCCAGGTAGCGCAAACGCACGCTTATCGCGGAGGCCGGCATTGTCTTATGCGAGCTTCTGTCCAGGGCCGGGGGCTTTTTTGCTATTAAGCCTAAATCCATGAAATTTCCGATTTATTGTTTAATAATGCTCTATAGAGTATTTAAACGGCTTATGCTTTATAGATATTTTTATATATACTTTAATTACCTTATTTCTTGTTTAAATGCATATTTTACACATTTTATTTTCATTACTCACCATTTTATGACTTTTAACATTATACATCTGAAAAACTAAATATATTACTTAAAATTCTCTTTTCGTATGAAAAATTTGAAAACGGGGATCTACACACAGTCCTACGTTACATTCTTTGCACTCGTAATAACGACATTGATGATGAGGACATTAATTAAGGATTAATGATGATGAGGACATTAATTATTTAAGGATTAATGATGATGAGGACATTAATTAATTAAGGATTAATGATGCATCGGCATACAGATGTCCGAAATGTCCTCATCATCATTAGATTCGCCAGATTCTTTATGATCAGAATATATCATAGTATCACTATCACTACTATCAGAATCTGTTTCAGAATCAATATCTGAAATATTTTGCATAATTTCTGCTATTTCATGCTCTATTAAACGTTTTCGATGCTTCGACATTGCAACGGTAAAAACAGAAAGAATTCACGTCTAACAAGATCTAATTATTTTCTAAAAACTGAACTGCAAACTGAAATACCCAACGCTTTAGCGAAAATAAAACTTCTCTACTTACAATAAACAACTACCGCATGCAAATTTAAAGAGACGTCATAAATCACGGCATTCGGAAACATTTATTTCCCCTTTTGTTTATATAATCAAAAACACGTGTATGTGAGTCATGCTTCTCTCATTTCAAGTAGAAGGTCTAATGTACATGTATCTGAAACCATATGGACAACTATGCCATCTTGTGGCAGAAATTATAGTTTTTAAAACGTTCCAGGACACTGGCTCAAATATGTGACGGTCGGGGCTGAACGGGAAAATGCTCTGGCACACCTGCGTGTCGGCCGACAAGTGAGTGTGTTCGTTGCTGACACGTAGACGTGACAGTCGGCACGAAGGGGTTAAAGAAAACTTAATTTGGCAATAGTCCCTTTTATTTTTCATCATAATTTGGCTAAGTCTCCTTCCTGTCCTAAAACTATTAACTGTTTATAATATATGAATTTAAATTGCAGCTTTTGAAGATCTCAAAATTAACATGTATCATTCCATTTTATGTAATGCATAGCAATGCTGATATCTTGCCACAAATCAAAATTTCAACAAAGAATCAATATATATCTCACTGCTGCTGAATGCTTGCTTACTTTTCTGCTTCGCTCTTGCTAACACATGTTGCTTGCCTCTCTGCCTCATTCATTGTTTAAATTATAAATTTCAAAGAATGTTATGAAAGACTGCGTGCATACTGCACTCATGATAATGTGTGAACATGATTGTGCTTCTCAAAGCTTGCTTTATAAAGAAATAAAATTGTAATGTATTTATGGCAATGTCTAATGTCTACTTTCAGGTCTCTCTTTCATTACAAATCATTTAAATTATGCAGTAAAACAACTGCCAAAATCTATCACAGCTAATAATTTAGTATTTTTTTTAGAAATAATTTTGAATTTATAAGCTTCATGAGCAACTTTATTTCCTAATTTATTTTTAATGCTGTTTTTAAATGCTTAAATTATTTTGTCATCATAATGAATAAGAAATTTACTGATTCTTCAACAAAATTATAAATGTTCACAATGTCCACACTACACACATTTAAAGCCTTTTTTAACTTTATTCTTGTGAGTAACGTAAAATTTTTATTTGCTAAATTTGAAGACCTAATTTGAATATACAAGTTATTAGCCTGATTTTATATGATATTTGAATTTTGGTATATTCATATTTATATTTCAATTATGCAAAACTGAAGAATATTTATAGAACTGAAGAAATAAAGATAAATCATAATAAGATAATAACTGAAGATAAATCATAATTAATAACTTTCAACATATTTATACAATGCTAAAAGCCATTTGCATTGTATTAAGAACAGAAGTTTTTATTTGTTACTGCATTTATGCATCCCATCCCACAGCCATCAGCAAGTAGCTATGCAGATTCAATTGTAGAGAATCTGCACATTTTTTCAAAGTTTATTTTTTTACTTTATAGTATTTCATTACTTTTCAATGTTTATTAATTTCTAAAGTATATTTGACATTATTTTACAATAAGAAAATATGCATTGTTTTATAATGAGTAAATAGCTATTTTGATAGAATTTCATGGATACGTAAAAGAAAATTTTTGGTTTCTTATTGAATACAACAGTTTTACAAAAGACTTCTAAGAGAAGAACTGTAAAAATTAAATAATGATATTTAAGCAAGGGCTTTAAGAACTGTGAACTTATACAAATATTTCTTGAAAAATTTAGGACAATTTTTATGATATTCAGAGAGAAAATTAAACACTTATATTCTGAGACAAAATAAACTTACAAATTTTTAAAATTGAATTGAAATTTTTAATAAGACTCTAAAGCTTGCAGTTATTGTAAAAAAAAGTTATATACCAATTTTTTTTTTTTTTTTTTTTTTTTAATTATATAGATGAAAATTTTATGTTTCCAAAAATATTTCATTTGTTTTCTAATGCTCTAATGCTTTTTCCTGAAAGGCTTTTCTGTTACTAAGACTTTTTCTCTTTGAAGGGGTAACATATAAACTATAAAATATATGAAAGAAAACTAGCACTCTTAATTTGGTGATAATCCCTTTTATTCCTCTTTTTAATTCGGCTGACTCCCCTTCTTGTCCTGAAACTACTAATTGTTTAGATTATATGAATTTAAAGTGTATAATCTCAAAATTAATTCACATCATGGCATCTTATGCAACACACAGAAATGCAGATGCCTTTTATCCAACCTCATATCAAAATTTCAAAGAACTGATTCTATATCTCTTGGTGCCTCTGAATGCGTACTTACTTTTCCGCTTTGAACTTGCTCTTGCTAACATTCATCATTTGCTTCTCTGCTTTGTCCATTGTTTAAAATGTAAATTTCAAAGCATGTTATGAAGACTGGGTGCATATTGCACCTATGATAATGAATGAGCCTAAATATGCTTCTCAAAGGTTGCTTTATCAAAAAATAAAATTATGTGATGTATACATTAGATATATTCACAGATATTTACAGAATCTATTACACATAACAATATATATTAGCAAAAGGATCATAGCAAGCATGTAACTGAAAGCAGTTTAATTAGACAGAAAGTGAAAATATTCAAATTACTGATATAAAGTGATACATATGAATAAAATATAGATATGATAATATATACATGAATTAAGTTCAGAAATGAGTTTACCCTTTTTTCTTTTTCCACTACAAAAGAAACTTGCTAATCCTAAGCATAACAACAAAGATAAATCAAATCCTTCTGAGAAAATGTATTTTTCATTTATAGTAAACAAAATACATGACCTGCAAACTTTAAACACAGAATAATTGTGGACATTCATAAAAGCAGTGCATGAATTAACAAGAATACTGAAACCAGTAAGTCCACACATTCTTACCAATATCTCTGTCAGCAGCATGGACTTTAGTAATTAATGTTCCAACATCTGAGTCTTCTGGAATGTCCACCGAATATAATTCTCGTGCAAATTCAGGAGCATTATCATTAACATCACTCAGAAGAACTTCTACCATGCTAGTACATTCCCATTCTGATTGGCCTTCATCTTGCACATGAGCTTCTAACAAATACCTGGACTTTGATTCACGATCAATTAGCTGAGCTGTTTTCAACTGGCCTATTTCATAAAAAGTGATCACATATGAAATTATAAACTTTAAAACTGAGAAATATTTATAGCTTGAGGAATACAAAATCATAATTTAGGGATAAAACAAAATATAAATTGAAGATATAATATTAAATAGAAAAGTTGTTCTATAATATCACTAAAAATTAAATAATTTTAACTGATAACTATGAACTAATAACTGCTTAATTTGCAACAAATGTATGAGATAAATGTTGACTTATATATTTAGGCATTATTTAAACCTATATAAATGGAAGAAATGTGGTCAGAGAAATGTTTTTAAATATTACACATGTAAGAAATATTTAGTACATAAGAAAAATGTAATAAAATATTACAAAATTTTAACAATTTTGTTGATAGTCATATAACTATAAATAAAAAGCAACAAGAAAATTTATTATAAAATCATATGATTTAAAAGTAAGAAATGCATGAACTGTTGTAAATATTTTAATCATTTTTATTGCATTTTTGATTTTCTGTATTGTTGTAATATTTTGTATTGCTTTACTTATTTATTGTCTTTATGATGATCTTTTTATGGTTTATTTTGTCTTTAATTTGTGGCCACATGTCTTATATTTAAATGTCTGTATGTTACATGGAATCATAGAAATTTTGTAAATTGTAAAAATAGTTCAATTAGAACTCGAGATACACATAATTTCGTTCCTGAGGGTCCTTGGCAATATTGGCTACTTTCTGGAAGCTTCATGAAAATACATTTTCTAAGCCCTAGCACCGATTTTTCCAGAAGTTTCCAGAGCCTCTGCTACACAGTATAAATATGAGTCAGAGGGCTAGGCAGTTAAGTTGAGAAACAGTAGCAAAATAGCTATGGGACTTAGCTGAATTATGTGAGAGTGAATTGACAAACTTTGCGACTTATTTCATATGTTAAGGTGGAGCTGCTGAACATCCACATCCTCCTCAAGTTATTTCCAGCTATTAGAGTGCTGAGTAGAGTATTTATTGGCATATTTTCCTAATAAATTCGTTATTTCTTTCTGCTTATCCGGACTCATTATTCAAAGAAACATCAGTGATTTCATAGTTTGCAACAATACCAAATATCCAATGGATTTTAAAATATATATATATTTTTTTAATTCTGTCTAGAGGAACAATGATAACTGAATTTACTCTAATAAGATAATTTTGAAAATCAAAGATGAATTTACTCTAATAAAGATAATTTTGAAAATCAAAGGTACCTACCAGTATGAAAAATTATAAAGTACTATACAATTTGACATTACTAAGCAATAAATAAATATTTGTTTATTCATTCAAAATATAGTACTTGGAGCTATTTGAAAATAAATAATATAGTAAAAAGTCAAAAATCTGGAATGATATAATATCCGAACCTCCAGAATATCAGTATTCTTTCTCCCTCCCCCTTTTCCACAAAATCTAGGCATGAAGACTTTAGAAGAAAAAGCAGGTGTGTTAAAAGGTTATTTTCTCCCAAAATGAGATTCCTGCATATCACTTTCAAACATCTAGAATTAATCTAGATCTAGAATAGAATAGGTTAGAGAATTACAGAATGGCTGATGATTATACATTGATTGAAGCTGTACTGACACTGGCCATGACCACACTTCATGACCATAATCCCACTATGAATATCCAAAAATAATTTATTAAAAAGTGATGATTGAATGAGTGAGACAATGTCCCAGCGAGGGCATGCCACTGAAGGGCCTAATGGTAATGGTTCAACCAAAATATTTCATGAGATGGAGGACTTGGTGCATGTATTAGAGGAATTGCTTAACTAAATTTAAAAATTGCCATGGTATAAGACAGTTAAAATCTTCAAAAGAAACAGCTTCATCTAATACAGAAGCAGTTGAATTCATCGAATTCATTAACAGCAAGAAGTCATCGCCAAAGCAAATTCATAATGCTGATGGAACTTGTCTTTTCTAGTAATATGTACCCAAAATACCTTGGCGATCTCTGCAGAAAAGATTTTGAAGTGAGACTAATGTTTTTGGCATATGAAATACTGCAGGAATGCATAAACTTCTCTTAATTGGAAAAAATACATGACGTTGGTAGTTAAAGGCATACAGATTTTCCTTGTTGTGTATTATTAAAATAAAAAAGCATGGATAAGACAAACATTAATAAGTGATTGGTTTGAAAATCATTTCATATGCAAGGCTTGGCAGCATTTGGAATCAGTTGATTTACTGGATGACAAAAAATTGCCCAGACTATAGATAACTGTTCATAAGATAATGTCTCCAAATTCTTTTCTTAAAACTGTTCACCTATCACTCAGCCGAAGGATACTGGCATGCAACATACACTGAAATGTAGATATAAAGTAGCCTTTTAAAAAATTATGTTTAATTTTCTGAAACCTGGTAACTATTCAAAAATATTTTAATATAAAATCTGCTGTATGGCTTATTGCAAGGTCGGGAGAGACTATGCAGATATTTTTTTTAAATGCTCAGCATAATTTAAGATCAACTACCTCATTTCATGGTGATGATGAAGATTGCTGCAAACCTGAAGGTTTTTGGATAGCACAAGCAAAATACAAAATTCTCCAATTAATGGAATACGTGAAGAAGTTATAATAAATGAAGATGATGTAACAGACTACAATGACAATGCCCAAACCATCAATCACCTAATAAACAGTGAAGTCTGTAGTATGTTTTTAAATCCAGAAAATAATGCTGCCAATGATAAAGAAAGTGATAAAAAGGCTGTTGAGGATTAAAAAAGGGTTGCTTGACAGTTTAATGGGAATTTTTGGAAATTACAAATCTTGAACAACGGAACTTCGTCAATGAACAAGAAATTATGCCTGTCTTAGCATAAAATACAAAACAACTTACATTGAAAGAAATGTTTGTATAACTAACAAATAATGAGCTTTTACTGTAAATTTTGGTTCTCATGCTTCATTATTTCATTAAATGATTATTTCATATTTTTAATTTTGATTTATACATGTTCAGCTTACTAGGTTTATGAAATTCTAAATGTGTAATATTAACTAAAATGTCCTTCAGACTCTAGTAGATTGGCAAGAGAGTTATTGTCTCATTTAATGTATATACATTTTGTATTATGTAGATTTTTAAAAATCTCTTTATTTAGTCATAAATATTTCATCCACAAAGTTTTCATTTATATAGTTTGTATATAACAATAATTATGTAAGTAAAACTGAAATGGCACAAAACATTAGTTATGACCTATACAACATGAGAGAGCTTTGAATAAACTTCTTTATTAGATTTGAATCTAAATAGAAGGCACCATTTGTGTGTACAATCATCTTTGCCACTTGCTGGCAACAGAAAACTATATAAAAGTTCAATTTACAAAATTAAAAGTATCATAAACTGAGACTACATAAGACTAAGCTGGCGCAACTTTAATGGCATGATTTAATAGCTGCTAGCAACTAGCTAATGCTGAAATATTAAATGGCAGAGTTGGGTGGTAGAAAATAAAGCAGCAAGCACCACTGACAAAAGCTCTATTATCCCTAAAACATTTAAAACTTTCGCATTAAATCCTCTTTAATTTCATTCACATCCTGATAAGGGTTAATGGAAAGGAGTAATCATAATAATGATAAATCAAGTATCTTTTCATATTATAACAGCTTTATTCATTCACTGATTTTATTCACCTATTAATGTGTCCATCAACTAATGTTAATGCAATAATAAAAACATATTCAAAAAGTGAAAAATTACAGTAATCTATTATTGAAATATTTATTTGCTAGGATTTTAAAATGAATATTACTAACGTACTCATGCATTACACTGAATACTCTGATAGACTACTTCAAACTGGCATGAACTTGTTTAAGTTATATGAAACATAATTTATGAAAACGATATTTTAACTGAGAACTCTTTTAAGTTCTTATAACAGAAAACAGGGCAGAAATAACTTAAGTTCTATTTTATTCCTTTAACTGCATTAGAAAACAACATATTCTATGTTGCTTGAATTTTTAATATTTGAGCAAAAAAAGACCACATGAGATATAGGATATCATATTTTAACTGCCAACAGTTTTCATATGGGACAGCAATAAATAATGTATACAGTTTAATATTTATCAGATCTCCACTGAAGTAATACTGATAAAACTAGCGTATATTAAAACTATAATATCCATTACTTATCTTGCAGCTACTCCTATTTAAAATCATAACAATAACAAATATTTGGCATTTCAATTTTACTTGCAAAATTATTTTATTATAAATAAAAATTATGCAGACAAAAAAAATTATGACTAGATAAAGAAATTTTTAAAAATGTACATAATGAAGCACTTAGTCAAAATGAGCAACCAAAACGAGCAATTTTGGTTACAGACCAATAAATTATACAAAATTAATAGTTACCTGTAACATGATCAATTGAAAAATCCTGATGACCCTCTCCTGTCAAGTAAAAATATAATCGAGAATTGTCATAACTGTCAGCATCAGTTGCTTCTACTGTTAGAATATACGTCTGTGGAGGAATATTTTCTGACACCATCTCAGTATATTTTGTCTGAAAAATCGAGAAAATAATGTGCTATACCAAGATGAAAATAAAGGGGAAAACTGTATATTAGAAATCAATATACAATAGGCTTTACTTAAATAAATAAAAAAAACATACTTGTTTGAACAATTCATATGGAAAAATCATTCATTATTTAAAATTCAACAGGATTCATTATTTAAAATTTGTGTTAATTTTAAGTATAGATATTGTTATTTTCATTCATTTGGACTTCATGATTTAATGCAGCAGAAGAATGGTTGGATAATGAGTAGTTTTATAAAAACAACGGTTCTACATAGTTGAGCATATGCATATAATTCTTTTTTACATTATGCATCTCTTAAAGAATTAAATAACCTTACTAAAACAAAAACATAAAATGATGATAGTTAAGAGCACATTCTTTTATGAACATAACTTTCAATTATTTTTCAAGTTTAGAATTTAATTATGATTGACATAGTTTACACTTTTCCCAAAATGCAATATTACATTAATGGAATTCTCTCTCACATACACACACATATATATATATAGTGATTTTTGATGTGCAGTCATGGTGTCAGAAATGGGAGGCTGGGAAGATGAACAGATGACGCCGACATAAAAATGAATTAGAGGAATTGCAAATCTTTCTTTCCACGCATATAAAATCATCTCAGTAGATTATTCAATCATAATGAAATCCGATACATTTCTATTATTCAATCAAAATGAAATATGATGAATTTCGATGTACATTGATTTTTTAATCATAAGACGTAGGCATTTGAGGAGCAAACCAACACGAGGATGACAGAGTAGCAGTTAGGAAAAGGAAGAATAATGCAATTAACTCACCAGTGGTGTTTATACTAAATCTGAGATATCAGTAGAGTTAGTCTATGATTGGTTAATTTGAGGTTGTTACATAACATAGAAGATTCTCGGATTTGGGAAAGCAGATGAATTCAGGGGGAGATACCAAATCTAGAATGTTAATTTTGAGGTCACCAATTATTTTTAAAGCAGCTATCATATTTTCTTATATCTTATATATATACATTTTAATGATTTAGGAATGTGGGTGAGAAGACAATACTTGCAATCATTTGAATCATGACTGTTGTGTGATGTACAACTGATGGTTACAGATGGTGCTGGTGTAATTACATAGTCAAAGAAAAAAATTGCAGATGCTGAATACTTTGTAGATAACAAGACACATAATTTTATTCCTTGATTTATAATTCCTTATGACATATTTTCTCCTTTTCATATCACTATAGGTACGACAGGCACTTCACAATTCTATAGATACATAACACAATTTTAAACAATAGAAGATATGGCAAAACAACAAAACATGACCTAGCCAGAAAAACAAGTAGAAAATGTGAGTGAGCACTTCAATGGAACCTATGTATAAGATTGGAATTCTCTATTTAAGTTTTGAACAGAGATTGACCAAAAGTTCTACGCAATACAGATGACATAACGCAGGTTAGTTTTTCAGTGATGCAATTTAAAAAAAGCTACTACTATTTTTAGAATAGAGAGGCTACCCAAATTAAGATAAATAATTTTGAGTACATATCTATATGTATATATACATATAAGATAGTGGATCTCTCAATTTTTTGTTTGGTGCATATTCTTAACACAACTTCTGTATGCAAATTCCATTTTGCAAAAATTAAAAAGAGGTGCAGTTACAAACTTTGAAAATCTAGTACCATAAGATTTATTCACATTAGTATAAAAGAATATCATAATACTAATTGTAGCACAAAAGAATATGAAAATACTAATAGCTCAAAAGAATATGAAAATACTAACCTTTAGACATATTGGAGGATTGTCATTAACATCTGACACTATGATAGTCACCCAAGTTTTTGAAACATATTTTCCATCAGTAGCAAGAACTGTTAATTCATAACTAGCTGTTGCTTCTCTATCCAATGGTTTATTAACCAAGAGCTTTCCATTTTTAGCTACTTGGAACTGTCCTTGCAAATCTCCATCTATAATGTAAAAATCTACGAGATTCTTCTCTTCATCTTTATCTTCAATCATGAGACTAACAACTACAGTTCCAATTGCAGCATCTTCCTGAGTTTCTCCATTGTAATGTTGTGACTGAAAAACAGGAGCATTATCATTGTAGTCACGCAGCTTTATATTCACCCAGGCTTTTGCCATCCGTCGAGGTTTACCACGGTCAAATGCAATGATAGAAAAATTATAATAAGGAGTTTCTTCTTTATCTAAAGTTATCATTGTAGAGAGCCATCCAGAAATAGGATCCAGCTGAAAAATATTTGCTATATTATCAGCTTCTGGTCCAAAATGATACGATACAAACCCATTGTTACTGCCATCAGCATCATATGCTTTTACTTTGAGAACAGTGGCTCCTGGTTCAATATTTTCAGCTACTGACACACTGTATTGATCAGATTCAAACTGAGGATCATTGTCATTCTCATCAAGAACAATAATAGTAACATCAACACACGATATCCTAGTTGGTAAGTCTACAGTAGAAGCCTGAACATTTAAGTTAAAAACTGATTGAACTTCTCTGTCTACTTCAGATAAAAGCATAATGCTACCATGTTTATCAATGCTAAACTCTGATAAATAAGTTTCAGCATTTGAACCTTTTGGAGCTGGTGTAAAGGAATAAGTAACAGGTCTTGAACATGAAGCATTTACATAAGAGATGATTGTACCAATAGGAGTACTTTCAGAAATAAAAAAATCATATTTAAAGCGCTCAAACTTTGGATAATCTTCTTTAGGATCAATAAATATTGCACTGACAGGAACTACTGTCTCAAGAGACGGGACACCACGATCTTTTGCTAAAATAAAAAACTGATATCCATAGTTCTCTGCAAGAAACAAAAGAAAAAATATTACATAATAATATGCAATAAAAACTAACATAAGGTTAAATGTGATTAAAATGGATTATTGCTAATATCTTTAATTACATTTAAAATGTGTCCTCAAGACAATAAATTACATAGCAATGCAAGAATGATATAATTAAATAGCACTTTGATTATTATATACAAAACATGAGTTTTTAATAAATTTCTGAAAGGAGGGCATAGGCTTAATAAGACTAAAAGTAACAAGCATCATTAAAAAATATGGAACCTTAAAAATTAGTAAGAATAATCTTTCCAGTATAAGTTAGAACAGTAAAATTTTGTAATATTTTATGCTTTTATTATACAAATTGTTAAGTACTAACTGTTTTTCTTGTATGAACAATATGTTTTCAACGGATTTGGCGATATCTTGTTCTTGGTGTCGGTCTTGCCGCATGTTGGCTAGAACACAACTCATGTAAACTAACCACTTGCAGTTTTGTTTTCGCCTATAGTGGCATACTTCACATTCTAACAATTCAATAAATAGTTAAAGTTCGTAATGTTTAATTGATCATCGCAAAATGCATTACATCCACAACATTTTTGGTCAACGTCGAGCCTTAGGATATTATTTGAAAACCTATGGATTAATGCATTAAGCCACACCTTCAAAAGGTTTAAGTAAAATTTTGACTTACTTATTTATCAATATGGCCAAATTAAAATCGGCTAAAACAAATTAAAAAAGTGTAAAATCTAGTATATCAAGGTTTAAAGAAAGAGTAAATTCAACTACTGAAGAAGCAGATTCAGCCTTGCTACAGTTATATGAATCTAAAATTTCATGTTTTCACACATAAATAAAACAAGTTTTTGATTCTATATTCTCAAATTATGATGATAAAGACATTGACGCATTCATAACATAAACTACAAAAGACAATTTAGACAAAATTAATTTGATAATTAAAAGAAAACATTTCAAATCCAGTTCTGTAAAAAGTAATACCAATGAACATTTCACCTAAAGACATTTCTGTTTCTAAAGTAAAATTACCAAAGTTATTGCTTCCCACATTTAGTGGAAAAATTGAAGAGTGGACCGAATTTGAAGATTTATTTTCCGCAGCAGTTCATAAGAACAAAACTTTAACTAATGTGCAAAAATTACAATATTTGAAAAGTTCTTGCAAATCAGACGCCTTAGACATTATTCATTCTATATCCATTTGCAATGCAAATTACGACTTTGGATGCATGGAATTTATTAGTTGAACGCTACTCAAAAAGATCTGATAAATTCAATAATTAAAAAAGTTACTTTCCTTAATGCAGACATGTGATTCAGCTTCTTTGCTTTTAAAATTTGTTGATAATATAAATCAGTTTCTTAAATTGTGGGTCATGACCCCCGTTGGGATCGCGGGACCTGCGGTAGAGGGTTGCCAAAAATTTTAGCTGTTTTGATATTTCTTTAATTTATTATAATAATTTTACAATTACCAAATATTTTTACACAATATATCTGAAAACAGATAAAGATAGGACAATACAGACAAAGAAAAATTGAAAATGTTTTGACGCATTCTTTTTGCAATACAAATGTTTTACTTGCTTTGCATGTGACGCTGTCATTTCGTCTGTTATTTATTTAAACATTTCCCACTGTTCTATTTCTTAAAATTAGAAATTAAAGTTGATATAAAACTGCAATAGTATATTATAGTACAAGTGAAAAAATTGACAGTTTCACTTACATGTGTCATATTTGTGCAATGCTTATGGAGTCCCACAAAATTTTCGTAAATATTATGGGGTCCTACGGTCCCAAACAAAATCTCAGTGATAAAAAGGGGTCACAACTGGAAAAGCTTACGAAGCCCTGATATAAATGAATGCATAAGATCTTTGAAAGTGGTAGAACAAAATGTGAATGGCTTCAGCAATACGCTAATTCTTTATGTATTAGTCGAAAAGCTCAACAAAAATATGAGATGCTGGTGGGAATGATCACTGAAAAAGGATGAAATAGGAACAATAGAGCTGTTACATCTGAACTCTGGACTATCAGCACTGTTACATCTAAACTCTAGAATAATCAAAACAAAAACATAACTAGAACTCTGATTTGCATTGAACTAGAACCAGAATAAGAGCTAGAAAGATTGTATGAAGGAAAGCGTGTAATGTTCATGTAAACATAATCTAATAATTGTATATAAATGTTTATAAATATAATCTGTTTATATTTCACAGAAATCTAAGTATCAGTATTTTGAAAAATCTTTCAATTTAGATATTTCAGCAATCAGAATGGATGTATTCTCGACCATCTGGAAGATAGAAAAGATAAGATCATTTTTCTTGCCTTTATAGAGAATTTAGAAATATTTAGTTTTGAGTGAGAATCTACATATATTTTCTGGCATCCATGTTCAGGACGGCTGAGTTAAGAATAAGAATTTAGAATAAAAGATTTAGAATACAAAAGTTGATTACAGCAAGTAAAATAAATTAAATTTGAACTTTCCTTCAGCTTCTGCATTTGTTTATGTGAAAAAATGTATATTTTGTACAAAACCTATAAATCGAATAAATTAAATTGTTAAAATGAATATTGAAAATATGAAAAAGAGTAGATATCCTGTCAGATGAGCGGCAACTGACACTATGAAGTTATTAAAAAGCGAAATAAACAAAAAGGAAAAGTCAGTTGATTGAATTTAAGAACATTTAGTGAAACTTTCAAAACTTTTAGACAACAAAACAAATTTGAGACATCTTGACGATAAAATTCTAAAACTTTACAAAACTGACAAAAACAAAAGGAAATTGATAAATAACAAGAATATAAAGATAATATTATTACATGGAAAATTCTTGCAAACAGAATCCTGAAAACGAGGGAAAGCAAAATTAAAAAAATTGAAAGAACAAATTCTCTAGAAACCAAAAGTGAGCTATAAAATATAGTAGAACTTCCATGCTTGCAGATTATAGATACGATGGCAATATATTAAGGTTTAATGAATTTTATTCTCAATTTGAAGTAGCTATCCACAAAAACACCTTACTATAGTAGAGAAGTTTAGGTATTTAAAATCGTACTTAACAGATGAAGCTCAGAAGGCTATACATGGTTTAACCTTGAGCCCTGAAAACTATGAAATTGTTTTGAACATACTAAAAGAATGACTTGGCCGAAAAGATAGTATTATAGATGTGCACATGTAAAGACTTCTAAACAAAAGACTAGCACAAAAATCATATGACATTGTATTGATGTCTAGACATTACCCAGAATGCGAAATACATATTCGAGGATTAGAAAATAATGAAATAAATCCTAACAGTAATAGTTGCCTATTGTATCCAGTGTTGCTAAAATCGATACCCAAAGATTTACCATTAGAATTTTCTCGCAGAACACATTCAAAAAATGAAATCAAAATATCTGATTTATTAAAATTTTTGATGACAGAAATTCAATGTCACGAACATAACAAGCAGTTAAACAGAGTCTTTAAGCACTTCAAATGTGCGATTGGAAACTAAATTTAATTCTTTACAAAAACTTAATCAAAAGTATGGAAGGTTTAATAAAAACACTCGTAATTACAGTGATGGAAAGAGCAATAAATGTATTGTATTTGTGGTTTGCAAATTTATTTATTAATTATCTTGTAACTGTAATTTATGTTTAATTATTCATTATTGATTAAAGTGTTTGAACCTTTCAATACTGGGGCATATGTTCAGTACTAACTGTTTTTCTTGTATGAACAATATGTTTTCAACACATTTGGCAATATCTTGTTCTCAGTGCTGGTCTTGGAGCATGTTGGCTAGAACGCCACTCGTCTAAACTAGGCACCTGCAGCTTTGTTTTTGCCTATAGTACATGCTTTGCATTCTAACAATTCAATAAATAGTTAAAGTTCATAATGTTTTATGTTTAACTGATCATCTCAAAATGAATTCAAACCGCATCCACAACAGAAATTATTAGAAATGAGATATAAATAGAATATAAAAACACAAACCATGTCCAGTTGCAGCTTTTCGCAAATAAATTTCTCCAGTGTCATGTGTTATACCAAATAACTCAGAAATAACACTATTGTTTGACTTGTATAAGGCATAATCAATAGCAGAGGAAAAACTGTCATCATTGTCAGTAGCATGTATCTAAAAGTATTAAAAAAAGAACTGTAAATAAATTTTATTAAATAAATATAAAACAGCACCATCACAAGTATTCACCAAACCTAAGTGAAATGATACTTAGAAATAAGAAGGAAAATTTTCAAAATAATGATAAATAAAATGAGCATTACCCTCCCCCAACCGAAAAACAATATTAGCACTTATTCAGCTGCAAAGATGCACAGCTGAGCTAACTATTAACTCTGCTGACACAAAATTATAATATAATGCTCTTTAGTTCATGCTAATATTTAAGCCAAACATATTCTTGAAAACAAACAATATTTAATTAAAACTTCATTAATATGATTTATCAAGTAAGGGCAGACTTTACGAATTCAACTTACTGGTTTAGCTATCACCACATTGAACAATCATCTTATTTATCTATTCTAATTTTTCAACAAACAGGTGAAACAAACTGTTTCCATTATAAACTGTTTTACTTGCTTACTTGTTTTATTTGCAATTTCAAATACTGATAGTACTCAGATCATTCACAATATGCAGTTTTTCCCATATCCATAAATATTTTCACTCTGTAAAAACATCTCAGCTTTGTTGGTATACCAAAACAATACAGATCACAAAATTTAAAAAAAAAAAAAAAAAACTATAATTAAAAAAAAAATCTGAAAGGTAATCTGATTTTAAATTACATCCAAAGGGGCTTTTTTTAACATTTTGCTTGTTACCTTTATTTATTAAATATCATGTTCTTCGTACTTAAAACATAAAATTCAGTTCAACAGCAATATTGCAAAATAATTTTAAAATGAGAATATCTTTAGAATTTTCGATACATAGTCTGGTATGCTGGAGATAAAAATATTTTTTCTATATCACATTGCCACTACTTACTTTGAAATCCCCGAGTTTAAGTAAAATAAAAAATTAGTTATTAATATAAAGCTACATGAACTTATTGTAATCTTCATAATCATGAATGCTTTCATAAAATACTTTTATTTATCAATTACAACAGAAAAGGGGAAAATATACTTTTAATATAGTAGTTCCAATTGTCATATTCACTGGGATAGTCACAGTATATTCTCCAACTGAAAACTGTGGTACATTATCATTTTCATCAGTTATTGTGACTCTCACAATAGCATAACCACATCTTCCACCAGCATCAACAGCAGAAACTATCACTTCATACAATTTGTGTTCTTCTCTGTCAATAGGGGCTTTTGTAAATACTTCACCTACAGTTAAAAAAGGGAAAGAGAAACATATTTCACTGACAAAAATCATACACTATTCTTAATTAATAAAGTAATTAAATAAATTTAAATAATAATACAAAATACTGCTTTTTAATTTATACTATGAAATAATTAACGCTCTCAAAACTTGTCTGCTTCATTTTTGCCCCGAATTTAGTCTAATTTATGTTTTGCTTTTAACATTATAATTTAGTTTAACTATGTGCTTTTTCAGTGAATTTGTTTGCCTATTAAATAATTTAATACAGAGAGAGAAAGGTATTAAATAATATTTTCTGAAAGTGAAATGAAGTAAAACATACTTGAGTATTTAAAATGCTAATTGAAAGAAAGAAATACATGCTTCAATAATTTGCAAATTAAATGCCTTTTTAATTAAAATGCATTACTTTTTTTACATACAATATATCTGAATTTAAAGATATTGCAATGTATCAGAGTTACTCGACAACATATGCCAAAAGGGTAGGAAATTAAAAATTGCACAAGATATGCAAGTTTTGATTTAATATTTAGTTTTTATTTTTATGTAAAAACTATTAAGCTTGTTTCTTTACACATGCAACAAAAATAAATACAGCATATCTATATTTTTATTACAAGTGTTTCCATTAATGTTATTTATTGTTTTCATATGTAATTATATTTAAACTACTGATTTACTACAGAATACTTGGCTTTACTTTAATAAAAAATTATGTATTCTTTGATGGCTATTATATTTCTTATGATACAATTTTATTTAACTAGTTGCCTTTTGTATAAAAATGTTTAATACAGACAAAAGTCGTTAATTCGGACACCCATAATCCGGAATGATCTATAATCCGGACCTCAAAGCTAAAAACTTTCTGCGCATGTGCTGCGTTGGCACAGGCGTTTTACGTGTGCGCGTAAGACCTTGACTACTGCGCATATGCGTGTGCGCAAGTGCAGAATACGTTTTCGCCTGCGCGTTTAATGTATAACGGACGGTGTAAGCTAAAATTATCTAATTATCTATTTCAGTTAATGTTAATGATTGCGTTGTTACTTAATCTTCGAATTGGATCCCGCTTATTATTTTTTGCAGACTGTAAGAGCAATTTTATAAAAGTAAACTTGAACTTTCGATTATGTCAAATAGAATTTCCGATGCTGGAACTTCCAAAGGATCCACAAAACGAAAGTATGTTTGGATGTCCAACAAACAAAAAGTGAATTGCTGCAAAAAATGGATAAAGACATGAAGAATGTGACAGAGAGGTTAGTGAAAACGAAAAAATTTCGATTGACAAGTTAGTCGGTATTCTCGGCACAGCAATTAACGGGACTTGAACAGCGGGACTTTGTAACTGAACAAAAAATTATGTCTGTTTATAGAATTAAAGAGAAAGTATTATCACATAAAATGAAGCAACTTAAACAACTTACATTAAAAGAAATGTTTAATAAAGTAAACAAATAAATATTAAGCTTTTTTTTTTTTTTGTAAATTTTGATACCCTTTAGATCATAATTGTTCCTTATTTCATAAATTACGGTTTCATATTTTTAATTTTAGAATTTCTGCATGCCATCTTACGAGATTTAAACTGATGATCTGTAATCCGGAAAAATCGATAATCCGGAATCGCTGAAGTCCCGACGAGTCCGGATTAACGACTTTTGACTGTACTAAATTTATTGATCTAGCATTATATGCAAATATGTATTAAAGTAAAACTATTTTCTAAATAATGAGTAAATCTGTTGCTTTTTAACACAATAATGTAACTGAAATAAATCGCAATGATTAATACGTAGTGACTTACCACTTTCAGAGTCAATTCGAAATAATTTTCTATGTTCTTTGCTCTCTATTGAGTATGTAAACTGACCATAATTACCAATATCTTCATCAGTTGCAGATATAGTAGTAATCAGTTTTTCAGCTGGAACATTTTCAGGCAAAGCAACCAAATATACATTATGTGAAAAATGAGGTGAATGATTGTTAGCTCCTTGAATATTAACATACACACTAGCATAGGCAGAATGAACACCATCAGTAACCGATACATTCAGCACATAACTTTTTTCAAAGTTGAACTGATGTAAGTTAGAAAGAGTTATGATACCTAGAAAGTAAAAGTAAACAGGTTAGAAATCAGCTTTGAAATTGAAAATCATTAAAAATAGCACTTTAATTTAACCAAAGATCATTAAATTAAATAAACAATGGTTTAAACATCAATGATAAAAACTGAATTTTAATGCAAGTGAACCAAATTATTATTGCTTGGAATAAATTATTATTGCTAACACTCATTTTAATAAGGGAAAATGCAAAAATTTGTTTAAATTATACAATTATAAAAAAGTTTAAAATTTGTGTAAGGTAGGAATGTAGTTTTTCTAAATACAGGATAGAAGAACAAAAACTACTGATCTATATTTATAAATTAACAAATTCATTTAAAATAAAAAAATTCCTCACTTTAACTTCCTTGAAATATTTCTTTCCATTTAAATTTTTTAAATAATTTTAAAGAGACATAAATATGTAGTTCTCAGAAAACCTTCTCATGCTATTTGAATATTTCTGAATTTTAACATGCTAGTCTTGCCTGAATATTTTTAAATTTTAGCATGTGGCCCTAACCTGAATATTTCTGAATTTTAACATGCAGTTGATATGAAGCTAGGCTATGTAAGCTTGCCTTTTAAGTAAAGAATGGTGAAAGTTTTATTAACAATGATCTAAATTACACTTTGTCATTGCTTAAGTTCAAAAATTTAAACAATTAAGCACCAAAACTTGATAGTTTATCATTCTGAGAAGCAATATTTAACAGGAAAATAAGACAAACAAATAAAGTTCTAGGAATTTTTATCACAGACTACAGAATATTGAAATTCGTAAATAAAGAAACTTTCTCAAAAGTAGTTTTATAAAGCAAATTTAAGCTAATTAGGCTCCAATATATGCAACACATAGCTTTATGTTAATTTTAATTATAATGAAAATTATGTAATACTATTGATTGCTTCTAAAAATTTATAATATTCATTCATACAGTAAATACTTACTATTCATACAGTACAATACTTACTATATTCATTCATATAGTAAGAGAAAGGATTCAGCAAAATAGCAAAATACAAAATCAAATATTTTTAAATGTAAACATTTCATTTCATTTCACTAAACACAAATCAGCATTCATTATTCTTGTATATATATTATACAATATAAAAAACATGGAAATTTAAATTCTAAATTTAATTTGCAATAATTTAATTTTAATTTAAACCACATTTTAATTTGACTGTTTCCTCTTTCTGTCTTAAAAACAGGAGGTGCTTATAAAAAATCTCTTTAAAATGTGTTATTTTTAAATTAATCAATATCATATGACTCTTACATAGAGCAAATTAGAAGATTCTGAATTAAGATTTGGGAATCAAAACTTTTAACAGCCAATACAGAAACTTCTTATTAGCCACTGGGAAATAGTAACTCTGAATTAAAATTTCACTTTGAAAATGTCCCACTAGTTTTCTGCTTTCATTGATAGCTGGACCTGTTAATACCTATTGCTTCAAATGTATTTCAAAACTACAAATATAGTTTTCAAGAAAAGGCACTCACTGTGCAAAGTCATTTGTGACTTCAGATGTCAGTAATAAAAAGGAATTTAAATTTGACCTTGACTGCAACTAGTTACACATTAACACCTCTGTCATCAGCATTTTCCAAATTATATAACACACATACACCTCACAATATTGACCTAATATGAAAAGATTTAATTAAAGTGAGGTCACACTGAAAGTAGTTTTCAGGAATATTTTTAAAGTAGAATAAAATTTACCAAGCAGTTTTCAATAAAAAAAAGTCAAAATTATTTTTACAGGAACAATCTCTATCTCTTTATATATACAGAGTACAAAGTTTGAAATCCAGATGTAAAATATTCAGACCTCTGGACCATGAAGAATTCTTAATTTCACTTAGCACTAAATAAAAAACCTCCCTATTGAAGAAACACAAACATTTATTAGCAAAAATCTGCATAATCAACAGTTTGGCTTCATTTTTATAATTTTTTTTCTTTAATCATCATGACTATCTGCTCATGGCAGCTCAAGAAATGACTCATCCAGCAATGTCTAAAATATTTTATTCTTGAATATTAGTAACTGATTGCCAAACAATATGGTAAATGTTTACCTTGACATTAAGCTTGGCCACAATTACAGACTTCAACCAATTATGCTATAAACAGTTAATAGTCTTGACAAGAAGAAATTAAAACAAATTTCCTTTCCATATGGAAAAAATAAATTTTGTAAATAATATTTATAAGCCAAATCATCATATTTAGTGCTGTCTGAATTCAGAATAACTGATTTGTTGTTCTTCAGGAAGCCTTCAGTATACATGAGAATTTATTTATTCACGACTCGGATAAGCTTTAAGCCAGTGGTTCTAAACCTGTTTAGCCTTGTGCATCCCTTTGATCACTGCTACATGATCATCCTCCACTTCCCTTCCCAAAGTAGAAAAATATATATACATTTATTTAAATTTAGATTATTTTTAATGTGTTTTATAAATTTTTTTAAAAAGTATAGAAAATGTTGATAAATAGCAAAATTTGTATAAAAGATTTTTTTTTTTATTCATAAACTAAATCTAGTAAATGCTTAAAAGGTAAATAAAAGGAAACCCCATTCCCTCCTAAACTATGAAATCCTCCCAGGGAGAATTCACCCTAGAAGAGAATCCCTGCCTTAAGCATAAGTGGAAATAGATGTAAGTATAATAAATAACAAAACTAATATTATTCAGATTTAACTTCCTCAACATATCATAGAAACGAGACAAAATTTAATGGAACAACATGTTTTTAATCGCCAATCTCATGATACATCGCCAATAGTGTACAGTGGACACAAACTATATAATGATAGACACAAATTTAAAGGTTTTTCAGATATCGCAAATAAAAAGTGAAATATTTCAATTAATGAAATTTGTGAAATAGTAGTACCAAATGAAGATGATAAAAGTGAAATCTGTAGTATGGTTCTAAATCCAGAAAATATTGTTACCAGTAGTGAAAAGTGACAGAGAGAGTTTGCTAAGAACAAAAAAATCAACTGACGATTTTTTGTTTCAACTGACGATTTAGTAAGAATTCTAGACACAGCAATTACATGATTTGAACAATGCAGCTTTGTAACTGAACAATAAATTAATCTACGAAATTAAAGAGAAAGTATTAGCATAAAATATAAAACAGCTTAAACAACTTACACTGGGGAAAAAAAAAAAAAAAAAAAAAAAAAAAAAGCTATTGAGCCTTTTTTTAGGGGGGGGGGTAAAATTTTGATTTTTGATTCTCTTAAGGTCATATATGCTTCCTTTTTTCAGAAACAATATTTCATAAACATTTAGTGTTTTTAATTTTACTATTTTTACATGTCATCTTATTTGATTTAATGTGATAATCTAAAATCTGGATCATTCTGAAATTGAGAATCACTGAAGGTTCAATAAGTCTGGATCTCAGACTTAGATCCAACCATATATAATTTTAAACATATACAAAATCTAAAAGAGTTACACCTCTTTTTTGGGGGAAGAGGGAAGGAAAATAAGATACATACTTGTAGGGTAAAGAAAGAAAGAAATGTAATTTTACTTTAAAAAGTTATAAAATTACAAACAAATATATTTTATTAATTGGGGGATTCAACTTGCCTGTTTGCCGATTGATTGAGAATGACTGCATTTCGTTTCCTTCTATAATGGTGTATTCAAGTTTAGACTTATCAGAATCATCAGGATCAGATGCCATCACCATAGTAATAAATTGGCCTCGTTTCACTTCCTGACTTACAGTGCATCTGTAATACTTATGATCAAATTCAGGAGGATTATCATTCATATCAGCCACTCCAATCCATACATGAGCAGTAGAACTTAAGATAGGATGGCCACCATCTGTTGCCATCACAGTAAAATAATGTTCTTGTTTAATTTCATGATCAAGTGGTTGTTTAACATAGATCGTTCCATCAGCAGAGTCAATTTGAAAATGAGATGTAGCATTTCCCACAATATGATACTGAATAGACTGACTGGCCTTTGTATCTCGATCTGTTGCTCTGACTTTAAGAACAGAAGTGCCAAAAGGCACAGCTTCAGACACAGTAGTATTATAAGATGGCTGGTTGAACATTGGAGGATTATCATTGACATCTTCAACATTTATGATAACTTGAACATCTGAATATATTCCACTCACAGCATCTGTGGCTCGCAGTGTGAGTTGGTATTTTGGAGTGGTTTCAAAATCTAGATCTTCAACAGCATAGAGAACACCTAAAGTAATTATAAGAAAATATCAAGCATGTATGGATATGAGAACTTTATATAAATATATAAAAAGATGAAAAGACTTATAGAATGACAAACTTAATAGAAATACACAGCAATTCAGAAAGAATTATCTGACTTCAATGTTTTACAAAAATTAACAAAACAAAATAAGACTACATATGCAAAAGAAAATTGTGCAACTTTTTGCATATTAAAAAAAATAAATAAATTAAAGTTTGGCAATTAAAAATTCCTTTTGAGAAAAAATGAAATTGATATTTAAACAGCAGAAAGCCTTTTGCACATTGTCATTTTGCAGCATGAGCCGTGTACAATAAGCCAGATACTTTGGTTTTAAACAACTGGATTACTACGCCTCCAAATGTAGCATTGCAATTCTTGCCACTCTTGTGACATGTTTCATTGGGGGTTTAAAAAAAACATATATTTGTGCCATCTAAGCTCCCAGACTTTAATAATTATAACAAATTCAATTAAAAAAATTCTGCTGCTTTACATATTATCAAAAATTTTGCTTAAGTTATTTATTTAGAAAAAATGTGCAAAATAAAACTATATTAAATGAAAAAGGATTTTCCTATTTTAATAAATGTTTTATTAAAGCAGATTCTATTCCTTCAGTTTGTCTCCTATGATCCTACCATACTTCCTTTTAATTAATTTTTACTAATATTGAAGTACAGAACCTATTTAAATGTTTTTCAAGATTCTGTGTATCATTCACAAAATGAAATTAATTCCCAATGAAATTAATTAGTTAATCTAATGATACTTTCTTTGCAAATAGTATAACATTTAATGTTTTAAAGATTTCTAAACACCTGTTACCATCAAGAAGAATTAACTAAAAAAAAGCCTTTCTGCTTTTAGTGCATTTAATACATATAATTTTTATATGCATTATATGCATAGTTTGAAATTAGTTTTTCCTAAAAAAACTTTTTTCTCTTCACTTGATGATATGCCTGCATTTTCTTCTTTAATTCCAAAAAGGAGAGTTTAACAAAAGTTTTCTGAACTCTAGTAAATCAATTTTTCAAATTATTCTAAGACAGTTTAATTTTTTCAACGCTATAAATGAGAGACAGTCCTACAACCTTCTAGAATCCAAAAGCTTATTTTTCAAACTAATTTTTTTTGACAAATTTTCCATTATTTTTCTATATTCACTAAAAGTTCTGTAATAGAATGCTTGTTTACATCATTAAGTTATCGCTTTGGTTCCAAATGCAAATCAAACTTACACAGCATAATAATCTTTAATTTTTTTTCTTTGAAGAGAAACATACTGAATATATACAAAAAATAATGAAGCAATAGTAAAGCTCTTAATCAAGCAGCTTTAACAATAAATATTCTCTTTTAAAACATAATTAAAATATTACAGTGTGATCTATAAAACAATTTATTCCAACATTATGACATCTTTATGCAGAAAGTGAAAATAACTTTCCTTTTAAAAATCTTCTGCCTTAAATTAAGGATTTTTTATGGCATAAGATTTTGAATTAAAATTTTTTATAAGTAACAGAAATTTAACTTTTAAGGAATAATATTATAAAAAAATAAAAATAAAAGTAATCTAACAAATGTAAACTTTTAGATAAAAATATCAGCTCTATCTAAAAATATACTGGAAGGAGAAAAACACATAATTTACAAGTAATATATAGTGATTTCACAAAAAATATATTATAAATAAATATACTCACATGGATCAGAACTAAGTCGATGCTCTAAATTTTCAAATAGGAGAAAAAGATGTTAATTATAAAATAAGAAGCAAAAATCATAATAAGCAATGAAAAAGAAATTAACATAACAGCAAAGCAAAGAAAATTATCTCAAAGAAAGTAATAAGCAAACGAAAATTACAGTGACACCATTCACCATGTTATGCACGTTTACCAGCAAAAAATGTAAAAGTGAACTTAGGTTAAAAATAAGACTCCTTTGAGGATAAAACTCTTACTTTTCTTTTCAGCATTATGATTTGATTAAGTGGACTTTGAATTTGCTTTCAAAGTGATTCTAAAATGCCATTTTAAAATATGATTACTTTTAGAATAGAACTTTTATTTTTCTGTTGAACCTCAAAATTAAAGCTTTACTACAACTTAAGCATAGATATATTTTTAAGAAAAAATCTTAATAGTTACTGAATATGGCTTCATTGCAGTGTAAAATCTCAGTAAAATACTGAACTTCATTAATATTTTAGTCACTTAAGTTCTAATGTAATTAATTGCATTTGTAAAATTTATAATACATCTTCACATTTCAGATATTTTGCAAATATTAAACTTTCTAAAAAAAACTTGCACAATTTAACTGTTACTAAACTGCTCAATAACATTTTCTATTCATAAATAATAATTTCTGACAGACACCTTCCATTAAGTTCCTCAAGATGAATTTCAAACAATGAGACTGAAAAACATTTTATCAGTTATTGTTTTAGGCAGGAAATACACTTTTTTACTTTTCTTCTTCTCTGGTAGAATAATTAATATCTATAATGAAAAACACAGCAAACTGATTTTACTTTTCTCTCCTTGCAGTAAAACAATGTTGATTCTCAATCTGATAACTGGACACATGAAAACGAAACTTAAACAGTATATTAAATAGTTTAGTTTTTATATTTCAAGCTATAAATTAATTCAAACTATCCAAAGTACAAATTAAGAGGCTACATAATTCAGTTTTGAATCAAAAATAAGAACACTGTCCTCGAAGAAAAACTTTCCATCTAATTTGAAACACTTTTTCTAATTTAAATTGAAAAAAGCTTCTGAAGTTATTTTTTTCATTTAAGAATTTTGGCAAAAGGTTTTTTAAGAAATGCCATTTGAATCTAAAAGCTCCTAAAATTGATCAAATTTAAATAAACGCTGATGAGTAAAAGTATTAGCTTTTCAGTAGTGATAAAATTAATCAATATATAATTGATTAATCTTTCTACTAGAGCTTCAAAAAGATAATTTTTCCATGAAGAAATGAAAGGATATTTTGGAACTGGTTTATCTAGAACAATTATATGCTTATTTAAGGGAAGAAATTAGCATAAAAAAGTTTTTATTAAAATCGCTTCTAAACCTGTCTACGGCTTTTGCTTTTTATAATACCAAATAATATACAAATCATATATTAATATTAAATACATATTAAGCATTTACAAACTTAATTCTGAAGCATATGAATTTCTCAGAGTATTGATATTAATTACTGGCTATTAAAATAGAGAGGAAATTCCTGATATTATGTAACACGCTTTGGGCTTTATATATTTTTTGGCTTTTCAAAGTTCATTCTTAGCCTAAGTTATTGCTTACATTTTTTGCAAATAATTTTTATTTAAGAAAGAAAAAAGATAATAGTTTATTTTAATATTAGCTGGTATGGAAAAAGTAAAATGCATTTCAATAATATTAACGGAAATTCATTTACCTCTGTTGTCCACAAGCATAAATAAAATGAAAAATTGAAAAATGAATTTAAAAATAATGAAAAAACGAAAAAAATATTTACAACAATAAACACCATTTGGATCTATTGCACTGATAGCTCTAACCTGTGTTGAAATCAAGTCGTAAATCTTCTTTCCTATTCCCTGAAACAAGACTGTAGATCAATTGCCTTGAATGTGGACTATTAGCAGTAACTGTAAGCAGTGGAGAATCAGGAGGAAGATTCTCCAAAACAGTTGTGTAATACAGCTGTTGTGAAAATACAGGCATGTCTCGGCTAATTACTTGAATTGGGAGAGTTACAAGGGAGCTCAAGGCAGGGTTACCTAAATGAAAATTAAATTAACTGAGATTTATTTACTCACAAGTATTTCTTAATTTTGAATTTATTAACCAAAAAGTAATGAATGCAGCAATAAAAATTTAATTCATTAACTATTGAAATTCACATTTATAAATGATGAAGAATTCAGAATAAAAAGAGATGATCACAATTATGGTTCATCTTTTCAAACATTTAAATTTTTTTTTTTTAATATTTTACACTCATTCTAAAGAAAGTTAAGAGAATATATACCACAATATCTATTAAAATGTCCTGATGAATGATTCACAATTTAGAAATGTTTAATTAAAAATATAATTTAAATTTTTATGTAACTTCAATAGATATGTTTAATTAATATGGTGTGACAGGAAAATTTAAATAAGATTTAATCAAAATAACAAGTGCACAAAAGAAGCATAGAAAAAAAATTACCTCTATCTCTAGCTTCAATGACAAGCTCATAAGTATTTGCAGTTAAAGGCTGTTTCAATAAAATTTCTCCTGTTTTTTGGTCAATTTGAAAAGCTCTTTTATCGCCTTCAACAATTTCAAATATAATATCACCATTAGGCCCTGAATCCAAATCCTTAGCTTTAACCTAAACAAATTAAATATAGAAATCAAAGGAAGGAAAGCACTTAAAATCCTACTAAAAATTCACATAAAAACACATTACTCCTCCTAAAAATCTTGGAAAAGCAAGAACAGGAAAAAAGATTTTAAAAAATGAATTAGACAATAAAAATAAACTACAGTTATTTTTAAAATCACATAAGAAATTTTAATAATTTAATCTATCTACAAGACAGATGTTTAACCCTGCAGGAGGATTTCAAAATATGTAGTATTTCTGTGTCAGTTATAGAACTGGTAGTATAATTATTAAACATGCCAAAAGGGAAAAGGGGGAATAAGAATTAAATCTTGCATTATAAAAAGAAAGTGGATGGATCCTCTATGGACATATCAAGCATTTACAAAGCATAGAGAAATTACATATTCATGTATTTCATAAAACCTGAAAAAATTATACAGCAAACGATGTAATTAAATAGTAACAAACAAAACAGAAATGTGCAAAATATAACACATAATTCGTTTTAAATAAATATAGATGGCAATAGCTATACATGAATATGTAAAGCAAAATCCAATTGTGTGCATATAATCATCATTTGAGAAAGAGTTATGAAAATCTGCACTGTTAATATATACTTTAAAATCCTTCTATGCGCAATGCTATTCTTCTATTTCTTCTTCCTCATTTTTAATTTCATTACATATAAAATTTCTTTGAATGTAACCTGACAAATTTTGTTAGATAAATGCTTAATTTGAAAACTGCACCTCCAGTGGTTTTATGAACAACCATAAAATGTCAAAAACTACAAAATATATTTTATGTGTTGCATTGTTTATTATTCATTACAAAAATTAATACTATAATATAAACCAGTGGTCTCAAACTCAAACTGCATGCCAAAGCAGCTGATGAACCAGAATTTTCTTTTAACAAAATGAAAGGTTCCCTCATTTCCATTTTTAACCACTTGCGCTAAAAAGACGTGCCACGCACATCAAGATGCTTTCGTCTCAAGCAGCGCCCCAAAATGAAAATAACGTGGTGCACACGTCACCTAACAACGAGATTGTTTATTTCTCAGAGATAAACGAGATTGTTTATTTTATTTTTTTATTTTATAGCTCTGGATTGCACTCGCAGACGCAGAGTGGCATAAATGAGACACTTTACCGCTTGTTATATTGTAGTTCATGGCACCGCAACCATGAAGTTTAGTAGTAGTGCAAGTGACTAAAGGGGGAAAAACAGTTCTTAACTAAATTTGACATTTTATTTACTAAATATTTATCAAAACATACATAAAGAGTAATCATAATGCCGAAAAAACTAACTTTATACTTGTTTTTTGTCTGAAATCTAAAGGCTGGTATCTAAGAAATTTTACGTTAGTTATATTTGGTAATTCAAACGTATTGATAGCAAAATCTTATATTTTCAAATTAACATTTATTTCAAGTAATTCAAATGTCCTAAATTAACTACTCAATAACTTACTTTTAAGTTAAGCAAATTATGAAAGCTCCCCAAATGTAGCAAAACTTGAGAATAAATAATGACAACCTATGCTTTTTTTTAAATCTATTACATTTTTTTCAAAGCATATAGAAAAAATACATATATTTATATATAAATAATTCTACAGCTTTTTATTTTTTGCTACAACTTTCAGCTACAACATCTCATGGTGTTTTGATATTGAGAAAGTTTATAACCATGGCCGAAAATTACTAGAAATTATCATCATCAGGAATTCCTGAAGCTCAATGCTCAATTTTATTTTTGGATTTATTAATTTATAACTACAGAGAAAACTGTTCACATATAAATGCCTTCCCAAACAAAGTGATTATTTTTATTGAAAAAATTTGTAACTGAGGGTAATCGTTTGGCAAATACAAATAAAAGTTAATTCAGAAGACAAACAACAAAAATCAGCTTTATATTTACAAAATTTTCACAGGACTAGTTTCAATGGTTTTACCGTACCACCATCCTCAGCTTTGCACCATTTTGTGGCTTTGCAGCTGAGGATGGTGGTTCGGTAAAACCATCGAAACTAGTCCTGTGAAAATTTTGTAAATATAACGCTGATTTTTGTTGTTTGACATCTGAATTAGTATTTATTCGGCGTGTTATTGTGTCTTAAATAAAAGTTAATCAAATTTGTAAATCATTGAATAAGATTTATAATTTAAAGATTATAGATTAATCACAATATAAATTAAACAGCTCTGAAGAGATTTTCTAAAACATTACTTATATTCATTTTTGGTAATGAAAGTAATGTAAACCTAGACTCCAAATCCTTAAAATAAAATTTTTCCTTCAAAATTTAATCACAATAATGTTAATTAATTTATGGAAAATATATTCATGGGCAATGTAGAGTGCTTCAGGGGGCAGTACTTGCATGTTATCACAACCACCATTGAAGAACTCGACAAATTTTCAGAATGTGCCAAATACAGGCAAACAGGCACATAATGATTCATTAAGCAATAATCCTTATAATTTTTTTTAATTGTGATATTTTTTGCCTTAATTTCAAAATATGCACTTGTGGAATCTGCCAGCAATGGAAGTAACCATGGTACTTCAGGTCACAGAATTTTAACGCGCAATCTCTAAAAAACAATGATGAAATTTGTCTAGTAGATAGTCGGTGTTACTGCAGTTTGTGTCTCTGCAATTCTCCAATGATTTTTCAAGAGTAAACCAATCACTATATACTAGAAGAGAAGGATACAACAAAACAAAATTACATAGATTTGGAGAAAAATGTAAGCTTTTATTTTTAAGGCATTATGTTAATACTCATTTAATAATTAAAATTCGTATTTTAAATTATTAAAGCATGTTTCTTTTTATAAACTTTTGCCAACTTACGATAAATATCTATAATTTGGGAACCTTTTTTTTTTTAAGAAATTCCCGAAAACCACCAACTCGCACCGTATAGGTAACTTTTACCTTTTCCATGGCAAAAATTCCAAATTGCGGCAAGATAGTTGCTTTAATACGAAAGTACCCAGGGGGCGCCAGTTTAAGACCACTGCCATATATGCACAATCATCACACACACACATACACACAAAGATGAGCATTTAAAATACTTCTTACCTTAAACACAGAATAGTGTATAGGGGAATCAATAGGTACAACAGCATAATAAGGCAATCCAATGAAATATGGAGCATTATCATTAATATCTAAAACCGTTACTTCCACTAAAACATGAGCATACTTTGAAATCTCTCTGGCTTCATTTCTCACTTCTACAACTAAAGTATAAAATTCTTCTACTTCCCGATCAAACAACCTACCCGTAGTACGAATGACACCAGTTGTCTCACCAATTTTAAACATGTGCGTAGGATTTAAGATGTGAAATGTAAGATGTTCATCAAGAGCAGTTCCAAGAGGAGTCACTATGGCAACTGTGTTGACTTCAGTAGTGTTTTCTTGTATTTTAGCAAAGTACTTATCTTCACTGAACTGTAAGCCACTCTGCTGGCTTTCCTGTACTTTAACAACAACTTTTGTGCTTGTTTCAAATTCTCCATCAGATGCAGATACGACAAGCGTATATTTTCTAGAAAGTCCATTAGGATCTTTGACTGTAATGTCTCCTGTCGTTTCATTGATGAAAAATTTCTTTTCCAAATTTCCAGAAACAATCTTATACTTAATTGAACTAAAAGAATCTGCATCAGTAGCAACGACATTTATAACATGAACCCCTTCATATGTTGGTAATAATAGAATGGCAGTGTAATATACCTCCCCAAACTGAGGAGAGCAATCATTTATATCTATCACAGATATGAAAATGTTTGAAGGCACTTCAGCACTCAAATGTGGTTTGCCCATGTCCCAAGCTTGGACACTGAAGGTGAAACTAGATTTTTTCTCGTGATCAAAAGTTGCAGCAGTTCTAATGGCACCTATAATGAGAATACAACAGATATTATCTGCATAGAAACTATTATTGAAAATATTGAAAAATAATCTTACAAATTATAGTCTTCATTCCTGTTTTCAAATAACTGATCATGAAGCTTAGGGTTTCAGCAGTTTAAAAAAAAAAAAAAAAAAAAAAAAAAAAAATCTTGCTAGCATTTATCAAAATGGTTTGGTAGAATCCAAAATGGGAAGCATTTTTTAATTTTTGCCATCTTACTATCAAAGAGAGTCTCTTTTTAATGTGTCAACACTCTTGTTTATCAAAACATTCAAAGGTTTACCATTCAGATCTATACAATGGTTCTCAACCTTTTTTATCCCAAGCATTTCTTTCACCATTGCTAGATTCTTCACCTTTCAAAGCTCGAAAAATATCAATGCATTTATTTAAATTTATATTTTTAACACATAAATTAAACAAGAAAAAGTATAGAAAATATGTTCATAAATAAAAAAAAAAAAAAACCTTAAATAAAGTAGTTTTTGATATTCATAAACTAAAACAAAATATTTTAACAGTTAAATTAAAAAGTTGACCACATTCCCCTCTGGCTGATAACCCTTGATCAGGATGCATGATCAACATGGTGATAGCATAACTTAGTGCAAAGGAAAAAATGTCCAAATGACAATTCTTCGGACTCATTAAATGTGGCTCACACGTGGCCAATCTGTAAAACTGTTGAACACCAGAAGTTCAATCTTAGTTCCATTCCAGATGAACAGGCTGGCTGCATAGTTGGAATTTCATGGTTCAATGACATGAATATGAGTCAGTTTTCCTTAGAAAATTTTCCACAAAAGCATTTTTCTCATTAAACAAGATAGCTCTTGTGTGTTTAGCCATATTTAAATAACTTAACCTGATCTGCATGTTGAATAAGAAGTATTTTTAACATGCATTATTTTATATTTACGTTTATACACCAAGTTGCAAACTTTAGCTTAAAACTTCCATAATCAAGTTTTCTGATATATACATTTTGGTACAACATTTAATGCATCTTAGTGATTTTAATCATTTTAACAATTTTCTTAAAATATAATAAATAACAACTACCCATGCTTCAGATTGCTATCTTAAATGCCTTACACCACATACCTAGTTTGTTTCATATTTTTAGACTTTTAAAATAAATAATCAATTTAAATCCACAAATATCTAAAATTTCTACAAATACACAAAATGTAAATCGATGTAGTGATTTGTTTATTCATAATACTGCAGGAAGTGCATATTACAATATTATGTGGATGACAAAAATTGTATTTTATATTAAAGCACATTAAAAAAAAATAAAGTGGATAATAATAATGTATATTTAGTTAATACGTTCTGGCGACAGGGAGTTTTTGTTAGTAGGAGATCTCACTTTGCAACGCTGTTGTTGCAAAGATGTAGTTCTAATTTAGTTAGTAATTCCAATTAAAACTTACTATTTTTTGCTCTGCTATTAGTTTTCTTTTTTAACTCTAGAAACACTTTTTCGAGTTACAGGTATATCAAACTCCCATACTGTGTCAAGTTTTTTGAATTAATAAGAATAAACCTGAACTGCCCGTACTGTATGAAGTGCTTTGAATTGATAAAAATAAAACAAAGTTCTTTAAGCTAATCTAGTAATTGTTTCATTTTCATCTCAGTGATCAAAAGTGTTTAAAAAAATCAAAGGATGGAATTAACTAAGATCCAAGTTAAGCCTTTAGCAGGTGAAAGCAATATTGCTTATATGGAACTACAGGATAAAAATTTATTTTAAGCTGTCATCCTGGTGCTTTAGAAATTGTGGAAGAAACTTAAGTGAAACCAAAAATTCTTCCAGTAGATATTCCAGTTGCTCAATGAGAGAAATATAATAAATCTATTAAGAAGTTTTAAAAAAATATATACAGAAGAAACTCTTCAAAAGATTATGAGATTTCAGACTGTTAGAGAAGTGTGGTTGGAATTGCATAAGTTATCTGAAGCCCTGTCAGAAAATCAACTGTATAATATATGCATGTAGTTAATTGGAATGTGATAATATGGTAGCGCATCTTTGCAAATTGAAAAAATTATGGAATGCATTAATTCAGGACTTGAATAGAAAAATGAAAATAAGTTACTTGACATGCTACTCAGTTGCAATATTTTAGATGTTTTACCCAAACAATATCATGCATTTAAATGAAGCTGATTACTCTTGGGTGAAAACAAATAATAGTTCGATGAGTTATCATCACAGCTTTGCTCTCATGAAGAGTTCACAGTCATGAGAAAGGCAATGCAAATAAATAAGTGGCATTAGTAATATCAAAATCTGAAAAATAAAAGCAATGTAAGAAAAAGGAAAATTCATAGGAAAATCAAGAAAAGAAGATATTTGCAATTATTGCAAGCAGAAAGGACACTGGGTAAAAGAGTGCAAACAAAGGACTGCTGATTGATACCACATAAGAATAGTTCGACAAAAACCATTAAAGAAAATACAGGCAGTGTAACACTGATGCCCATTCACAAAGAAGCCTATGCAGCTGAGACTGATCTAAGATCATTTTGAGTTGATAATGGAGCTACAAAATGTGTCATGATAAACATGTCATTACAAAATAATGCACACAAGATATCTAAGAAATAGAACTGAACTGAGAAAGCCAAAGTGTTTTGAAGATTATATAATGATAGGTGAAATTTTTGTAGCTGATTCTGAAGAGCTTGGTTCTTATGAAGAAGTGATCAATTGTAAACGAAATGTGCATTGCAAAGAAGCTATGGATTCTGAGATGATTATCACTACTGGAAAATGAAACACAGACTTTAAAAAAATTACCAAAAGATGCTAAAGCTGTACGATGCAAGTGGGTTCATAAGATTAAAAAGAATCTTGATGGATGTTTTGATAAGGCTAGATAAGATGATGTGGAGATGATGAAGATGTGGAATTAGTTATGATCAAACAAACGTCTAGTAACAGAGTTAGTTACGTCCAGTAACAAAGTTATGAACCGTTTGTTCAGTTCTCAGTAATGCAGCCAACTGGAAATTACACCATTGATAGGGCAAGTTTCTGGCATAATGATTAAACCACGGATTTTGATTCCTTGTGATAAGATGGGACTCTTGCTACTTTCTCTTCTAGTTTATTATTATTATTTTCCTTTTTTTATTGACAAGGGGAAGTCTTAAAAGTTAAAAAAAGAAAGCAAATAATAATGTATAACTCGGGTAATAAGTTCTAACAACAGTGGTTTTTTTTTTTTTTTTAAAAAAACTAGGAGATTGCATTCGGCAATGCTGTAGTTCCAAAGATGTAGTTCTACTTTAGTTAGTAATTCCAATTATAACATACTATTTTTTTGTTCTGCTGTCATCTTTTTTAGTTCTAGAAACACTTTTTCATTTTATTTTTTTAAAAAAATTAATATTTGGAACATAAAATAAAAGTAGCAAATACTCTATCAAGGATATTAAAAAATGCACACAAAATTTTACACTTTAATTATGCTTTAAAATGTGTTATATATTTGAGATATTTTCACATTTTAAAGGTACTGACTCCTTAAGAGATTTATTATTCTTTACACTTAATATAAATATTTAGTTAACATACATATTTGTGTAGTTCAGTAGCATAAAATTTTGTAATATATTAATAACCAAAATCCCTGTTCAAAAATGTCAAAAGATAACTGCTGAGATGTGATTTTATGCAAAAGTGCCCCTTAACTACCCATCCGGCAATGAATGTTTTGCTGTGTAAAGTATCCCTCCTTTTCCATTTCTGTGGAAGTAGTCCTAAGCTGCTGTCAAAGTAACCTGCAGATGATGTATACAAAAGTGCAACATGTCTTTAGACTAGCAAAGCTTGAAAGTGCTGTGTCAACCGTGGTGCGAAAGAAGGCATCCCCTTCTATTTCTTCCTCCGTGTTTATAGAAAATGTAGAATTTACACATTTTGGGACTTTTATAGTAATAATTATATTATTTGTGACAGGTTATTCTCACTTTGTAATATTTTATTTCAAATAATAATTCATTTTATTATTTGTTCTAGAAAATTTATAAATTATTCTTGGTATACTGCAAAAACTAGAAATTACCACACATAAGCATGGGCTATTATTGCAGTTTTTAAGTATGTAAAATTTAATCTATGAAATCAATCAAGTTCTATCTGACAGTGAAATAACCATCTACAAAAGATAAGAATGAAAACTAACAGAATTTAATCTTTGATTTTCAGAATTTCATACTATCTATGTTAATATATTTCTTAAAACGAAATCTTCTCCGAATAGCCTCTCTTTAAAATGTATTCTAAATAAGTATAATTTAGTTATTTCAATTTTAAGGGAGTTCAAATGTAAATATAGTGCTACAATAATTTAGCCATGCATTTGCTTATAAATAAAAAATTCTATATCTTTAACAGCAGGGCAAATAATTCACTTATTATCAGATGAATATAACTAACTACAGCCCTTTTGAAGCAGAAAAGTTCTAGTAGCAGATTTATTTATTATATTCAGAAATAATAATATTAAAGCTAATTTATGCTAATATTCAGACATATATAAGGTATGCTCAGATGAATTAGAGAATGAAAGTATCAAAGATATAAAGTTATGAGAAACTTTAAAGAAATCAAACATTACAAAAGTATATTAAATGATAAAGTTTTCCATAAAATCTGCATTACTTTTTCAGAGTTCTTGGGGGGGGTGTACAATCACCAGAACATTTTGAATAATTTACATTATATATCACTGTAAACTCTGACTACACATCCTTGATATTTATACCAATAAAGAACTTAAATTGAATTGCAATTCTTGTTACAGTTATTAGGAGATATGTAGAGGGAGACAGATAATTCAAATGAAGAAAAATGATAATAATTTATACTAAGCATTTTACTATTTTAAAAACAATAATTTTCTAGTATGTATACTCACCTGTATTTGGATCAATACTAAAATAAGCTAATGCAGACTTCTCTAAAATTCTGTAGTGAAGTACAGAATTAATTTCAGAGTCATTGTCATAAGCAGATACAACTAAGGGTTTTATTCCATCAATCAAAACCATACTTCCAACTCTGTCTGATTCAATTACTTGACCATGGTATTCCAGCTGATGAAAAACAGGAGGATTATCATTTCTGTCTAATACATGAACAAGAACAGAAGTTGTACTATTGGCACCAACCATATTAGTTGCCCGGATGGTCAAATTATAAAATCTACGAGCTTCAAAATCAAGCATAGATTTTGTTCGTAGGATTCCAGAAGTAGGATTTATAACAAAACTATCTTCAAAATTTCCAGCAATAATTTCATAATAAACTGAAGAACGGCTAGTTGCAATCACAGCTGTCAAAGATTTTCCTGGTTTTTCATTTTCAAATAATTCAACAACATAATCTCTATGCTCAAATTTAGGTGGAGCATTATTTGCTACAGTTATCACTATGTGAACTGTTACAGTAGAGTTGAGAGAAGGTGTGCCTTTGTCTGCTGCTCGAACTACAAGAAAATATTCAGGCATAACTTGCCTATTCAACTGCTTAGCAATTAACAAAATACCTAATGTTGGTTCAATTGAAAATGCATTTCCTATATTGCCTAAAAAGTGAAAAAAAATTGTGTAAGGTATGAAATTTCAGAAAATTTATCAAATCAGACATCTTAAAATACATAAAATTTATATATTTGAATTACAAAACACTGAACAGTTTAAAATACATAAAATTTATATATTTGAATTACAAAACACTGAACAGTTTATGAAGTTACAAAATTTCAAATGCAAGAAAATATTTTCTTTACAGGAAACAATTACAATACAGTGGATGCTCATTAAGTTGAAGGATCCCCAAAATTTGTATTGGAAATAATATTAAAAATATCTCCTTAATTTGAACTAAATTTTTATTGCTTCCATTAATTCAAATAAAAAAATTTCTTTTCCCTCCTTTAACAGAGAAAATACACACTGTATTTATTATTTTTTGTGTCAAAATCCTCTGTATTTCTTTCCTGTGTAAAAAGGCACATGCCTGCTTTCCTAGACTATTGTATTTCCACTAAACTTTACTTCTGTCCACCTCTTATTAGGGCTTAATAAACAAAACTCCATGGCCTAAACTGTTTCCTTGGATTCATTCAGAACTCTTTATGAATGAGTTGGGGTAGGAGGAGAATCATTTCTTTACTTGTTATCAATTTTCTTAGAATTTCAGAAAAAAAAAAAAAAAAAAAAAGTCTTTACCACAGATTCTAGAGAGCTGCATCACTAATGCTTGCAATGAAGACAAGTGAATGTACTCTAGTTTTTCTTCCTGTGTGTGATCTGCATGTAAAATTCAGGATGTCTACACATGGAAAGCACAATTCTATACATGGAAAGGATAAAACTCTAACTTTGGAGACAAAGGTAGAGTGAGTGAGTGATTATGGTGCAAAAACCAGAGATGATTATGACACGCCAAACACAAGGTGGGATGATTACAATTGATGTCATTAAAATTCAATAAATAAAAACAAGTAGATAAATGTACCAAATCCAGAGGATGAAGTCATATAATAATTAAATAATTAAAATAATTAATCAATATTATAATTATTTAAGTTCTTTATTATTAGTTCTTTATTTCAATTAAGTTAAAAGCACATATTAAAATTCAAGACACAGTCTTCAAAATAAATTACATTAGGTAATAAAAGCCAATCTCTTTTAAATAATAAAATAAATTACAATTGACCTCTCTTCCGATTAAACGGTCGAGAGGTAAGTCACAGCTATTAAAATATTTCTGGTGAAGACTATTAAAACATGGACATTCAATTAAAATATGACGAACAGATAAATATACATTACAATTAAAACAAACAGGCTCATTTTCAGCTTTGAGAAGATAGTTATGTGTGACTCTAGTGTGACCAATTCTGAGGCGAGTCAAAAGAACGTCCTCCTTACGATTTCCAGCAAAATCCCAATGTTCAATTCTAGGCTTGATGTTTCTCAACTTGTTGTGATGCTGAACATCCCAAATTTGCTGCCATTTTTTCCACATCTTCCCCTTGATTACACAGCAGATGTTTCTAAAAGGAATAAGGCGAGTGGACGGTTCAACAGCATATTTGGCTGCGATGTCTGCAAGCTCATTTCCCTTTATTCCTGCATATCCAGGGACCCAGCAGTACAGGACTTCATATCCTCGAATTGTTAAATTTCTATGAATTTTGAGAACATCCACTACCACAGGATTCTGCATGTTGGGGAAAGCTTCCAAGGATTTAAGAGCACTATACCAGTCTGTATAAACTATGAACTTTTTGTGGCAGAGCTTTGAGATGTACAAAAGACCGTAATATATTGCAGTTAGTTCAGATGTTAGGACTGAGAAAGCATGGTGCAGGCATCGGCCCTCAATGTAATCTTGAAATACAAAAGCCATCCCAACATGATCATTTGACTTTGATCCATCTGTGTATATCGGATAATGACTGCTATATTTGTGCCTGTGCTCACCGAAGAGTTGTCTGTAAACGATCTCGTTAGTGCTCGCTTTTACGTGATGTTTGAAAATATCGAGAAGCTGGATCCGTGCATTTTCCCAAGGTGGAATTTCAAAATTCTGTACTGCTTGGGGGCACATATCAGAGAGGGAAAGTTCCTCAATGACAGGCGAACTCTTAAAGGAAAAGTAGGAACACAGGATGGACGTGTTTCATATAATGTGTTACACTCATTATCGAGTAAGTACAGCTTATTGAGATGTTCAGGTTGGGATAGAATATTAAAATATTGCAAAAGGGACAATTGCTCACGCCTCAGATAAAGTGATGGTTTGTTAGAGTCAACATATAGGCTCTGTACAGGAGAAGTCCTGAAAGCTCCTGAACAAATCCGCAGACCTTGATGGTGAACAGGATCCAGTTTTAACAAAACAGATGACCGAGCGGATCCATAAACAATTGAGCCATAGTCCAGTCTAGAGCGGATAAGCGCTCTATAAATGCGAAGCATAGAGCAACGCTCTGCACCCCAGGAGGTGTTCGCCAACACTTTTAAAATATTTAGTGTTTTTTAGACACTTCTTTCTCAGGTTTAAAACATGAGAAAGGAAAGTCAATTTTCAGTCGAACGTCACTCCTAAAAATTTTACTTCCGGTGCAACTGGAATAATTGTACCATTCAGATATAACTCAGGTTCAGGATGGAGACCATGCTTCCTACAAAAGTGCACGCACACAGTTTTCTGTTCTGAAAAACTGCTTTGATAAGGCGAAATAATATTATTCTTTTCCAAGAAGTAGACTAGGCGGCTGTTTACCATCTTTTCAAACAGTTTGCATACACAAATGGTAAGGGCAATTGACCGATAGTTGGCAGGATTCTTTGGATCTTTCCCTGGCTTCGCAATAGGAATTACTACAGCTCTCCTCCATGCACTGGGAAAAATACGCTCCTTCCACACTCTATTGTAGAGAGTGAGAAGGGCAGTCAGTGACTTATAGGACAGATGCTTTAGCATTTCGTAATTTATGCCATCAAAACCCGGAGAAGACTTATGTGTCAGCAACAAAGCTCTCTTTAATTCCAGCATAGTAAATGCTCTATTGTAAGGCTCAGATTTGGAAGAGTTGAAATCCCTATTTCTCTGACCATTCTTGGATCTTATTCAGAGCCATCTGCATTTGCCTCTCTACATATCTCATGTCTGCCCCTCGACAGCTCATCTGCAGATCATCAACATACAGAGATCTCGAGATGGTGGGAGGAAGTTCTTTTAGTACAGAGTTTATTTTTAAATTAAACAGGGTTACACTGAGTACACAGCCTTGAGGCACACCCTCTTGTTGTTCAAAAACGTCGGACAAAATAGAGCCAATTCTTACTTGAAAAGTTCTAGTGTTCAGGAAATTCTGAATGAAAATTGATAGGTTGCCGCACAAGCCACTCTCGTGAAGATCGCGAAGTATACCGTATCTCCATGCCTTATCATAAGCTTTCTCAATGTCAAAGAATATTGAGACAAGGTGACTTCTTTTGACAAAAGCTTTACGAATAGATGTCTCTAACAGGAGCATATTATCTACGATCGTTCTTCCCTTTCGAAAACTGCTTTGATAAGGCGAAATAATATTATTCTTTTCCAAGAAGTAGACTAGGCGGCTGTTTACCATCTTTTCAAACAGTTTGCATACACAAATGGTAAGGGCAATTGGCCGATAGTTGGCAGGATTCCTTGGATCTTTCCCTGGCTTCGCAATAGGAATTACAACAGCTCTCCTCCATGCACTGGGAAAAATACGCTCCTTCCACACTCTATTGTAAAGAGTGAGAAGGGCAGTCAGTGACTTATAGGACAGATGCTTTAGCATTTCGTAATTTATGCCATCAAAACCCGGAGAAGACTTATGTGTCTGCAACAAAGCTCTCTTTAATTCCAGCATAGTAAATGCTCTATTGTAAGGCTCAGATTTGGAAGAGTTGAATGCGATGGGATTTATTTCAGAGTGCTGCTTGATAGAGAGAAATGCAGGTGAATAGTTTCTGCTGGAAGAAACGGCAGCAAATGTCTCACCAATAGTATTCGCTATTTCTTCTATGGAGCTAATCACTCGGCCATCTTTTTCCAAAAAGGAAAGTGAGTGGTCTTTATAGATTCCGCATGCTTTTCGAACTCTTTCCCAAACCCGCTTGCTAGGCGTGGAGAAGGTTATTGACGACACATATGAGATCCAGGAATTCCTTTGGCTCTGCCTCCTTACTTTTCGTGCATTTGCTTTGGCTCTTTTAAATGCTATGAGGTTTCGCAGAGTAGGATATCTACGAAAAATACCCCATGCTTTTTTCTGTTGTTTCAGTGCTTCATAACAGTCACGATTCCACCACGGTTTCGAATATTTTAGGAGTTTTCCTGATGTTCTAGGGATGGAAAGAATAGCTGCCTCAATAATAGTATTAGTAACAGCTTCAACAGCATCATCGATATGCGCATCTTCTACCATATCTCTGTGAGCTCTGCGGTGGAAGAGAAAAGTTCCCAGTCTGCCCTGTCCAGTATAAACCGAGGGAGTCTCGACATGGGGTTTGCTCGTCTTCGTGCAAGAGACACAAAAATGGGATAATGATCGCTGTTGTACAGATCATTTCCGACACTAAAGGTGCAAACTGGCAACAGAGATGGTGAACAGATGGCAAGATCGAGAGCGTGGAATGTCCTTGAAGGCTCATGGAAGTACGTATCCTTCCCATTATTCAGGAGACAAAGGCTATGTTCTTCAATCATCTGCTCTATTTGTCTTCCTTGGGAATTTGTATCTTTACTACCCCAGAGCGGACTATGGCCGTTAAAATCTCCTATTATGATAAAAGGCTCAGGCAGCTGTTCTATTAGATTATTTAAATCTTGCTGATAAATGTGCTCATTTGGAGGCAAATACAAAGAAACAAATGACACAACAATATCAAAATTTATTTGAGTAGCGACAACTTGGAGGGATGTCGTCAAAGAAAGAACATTTGAGGGATAATCCAGTGAGGAGAGGAGACCTACACCTCCACTGGCACGTTCACCTGCAAGGTTATCCTTCCTGACGAAAGAAAACCTCCG